GTCTAAAAACATAAATAGATGTACTAAAAAGCAATAATAAATAAATACTAATCAAAAGCTACTCAAAAAAGGTGCGTCTTGAGCCTACTCTTAAAAATATGAACGTTCTCTGCGGCCCTGAGCTCCTCCGGCATGCAGTTCATCCAGAGCGATCATGGGCCTCTTGGCTGCCTCTCTGATCAGTCTTCTCCTTGTTTGAAATGAAAGTTTGGAGGGACGGCCGGGTCTTGGTAGATTTGCAGTGGTCTGATACTCCTTCCATTTCAATGTAATTGCTTGCACAGTGCTCCTTGAGATGTTTAAAGCTTGGGAAATCTTTTTGTATCCAAATCCGGCTTTAAACTTCTCCACATCAGTATCTCGGACCTGCCTGGTGTGTTCCTTTGTCTTCATGGTTCTCTCTGCGCTTTAAACAGAACCCTGAGACTATCAAAGAGCAGGTGCATTTATACGGAGACTTGATTACACACAGGTGCATTCTATTTATCATCATCAGTCATTTAGGACAACATTGGATCATTCAAAGATCCTCACTGAACTTCTGGAGTGAGTTTGCTGCACTGAAAGTAAAGGGGCCGAATAATATTGCACGCCCCACTATTCAGTTTTTTATTTGTTAAAGTTTAAATTATCCAATAAATGTTGTTCCACTTCACGATTGAGTCCCACTTGTTGTTGATTCATGACAAAAAATTTAAATTTTATTTCTTTATGTTTGAAGCCTGAAATGTGGCGAAATGTTGAAAGGGTTCAAGGGGGCCGAATACTTTCGCAAGGCACTGTAAGAGTTGCTCATAGTGTTCAAATTCTAAGAATATTCTTAGAATCTTGACGTACCTTTAGAATTTCCCCTAACAGTGAAGAGTAGATCCTAGTTAAGAAAAAAGCAATTCCTAAAGAATCCTAGCTCTTAAGAGCGCTCCTAAGGTGAGCTCTCGAGTAGAGAGGACTTTTAGCGACTTTTTAGGGTTAGTTAGGAGCTGTCTGAGAGGACTCTCAGAAACTTTAGGCATAAAGCCCCTGATCTGAACCTGTTAGTTTGGTTGTAGACTCTGATCTTTGTCCTGTGGCTGTTGGCTGTTTTGTTACTTAGAGAATTTGCATGTTACTTCTGCAGACACATGCTGGGCCTCGGGCTCCTGTCACAGCGTCATTTCTCTTCTCTCCACAACACCTGCCAAGATTCACACGTGTTTTCCCCTTTGTAACTTTATGATTTTGTTTACTTCCTCCTTGACATAACAAAACTGTTAGCGTGGGAGGCAGGCGTGAACTTTGAACAAGAGATATAGACTGTTTAATCAATACAATAAATATGAACTCTTATCTTATTTCTAAGTAGTATTAGCAGTAGTAGTTGAAACAGAAGTAGTAGTAGTAGTAGTCGTCTGCATCATAGTAGTAGTAGTAGCATCAGTAGTAGTAGTGTTAGGAGTCGTGGACCATATCCACAGGGGTTATGTAGCATGGATGGAGCTAAACACATCTGCAGGTCTGTGTGTTCTTTAAAGGGCCCATATTACTCTTTATGACTTTTCTCTGGTTTAAACATGATTACAGTCCTATTTGGCCTTCAAACACAAGCCTAGAGTAGTTTTTTATTGATTCCTTCAAGCTTTAGTTGGAGAGCGATCTTTCTCTTTCATTCTCGAGAGGCACAGAAACCAGCTTCAAATCGTGACGTCAAAAGCCCACCTCCAAGAAGTGATTGACAGCAGGGAGACAGCGTCTATGTTCAGCCCATGCAGCCTCTCAGAGTCCAGAGTGTGGTCCTGTAAATAAACGTCTGTGATTTTTGTGTTAGCTTCATTTCAACTTGGAGAAAATGTGATGTTGGTGTAAATATGTGACGAGAGTATTCGGCCCGAAGACTGAGAAAGGGGACCGACTTTGTTCACGGATTCCTGAAACTGGACCTACTCAAAAGCTGATCTAGAAACCTGGTCTTATTCCCAACATAAAAGACGCTAATAGGAGCCTCGGTCTGTGAGGTCAGTGTTACTAATTCGCCGTATCTCACTGTGAACTAAATAATTAGGGTCTGATTCTGGATCAAGGACATAGGGCACTACGGGCTCTACATAGGGTTGCCATTGTTGGAAATAGTTTATTCTCAGATATGAAATTATTATGTAACAGTGAAAGCTGTTAGCTCTTGTTTACCTCAAAGCGTGATGCTACGTCACCGTGTGGGCGGGGGGGTGGCGGGCCCCCCAGCAGAGGAGCACAGATCCAAGTATTTCACATGAGGTGAAATCACCTCTATGCACAAATTTTGAGTGTTGTATGGTGTATCACATACACATGTGCAAAATATGGCACCTTTAATGTAGCTGTTGTTCTGAAGTGTATAAGAGTCCACATGGTAGGACCAATACAGACTTTCGGATCACGTCTGCGGAGGGTCAGCAAGTCCAGAGCAGTCAACACACTCTCTGGACACAGAGGTTCGAAGAGGCCCAGGTTCTGAGAGAGAGATCCAGGTCCTGAGAGAGAGACCCAGGTCCTGAGAGTGAGAGCCGGGTCCTGAGAGAGAGGCCCAGGTTCTGAGAGAGATTCCCAGGTTCCGAGAGAGGTCCAGATTCTGAGAGAAATGTGAGCGTGTGTTTACTGCTGTGGACCTGATGACCCTCTGCAGAAGTGATCCAAAAGTCTGGGACCACGCGGGCTCTTCCAATCACGCACCAGAACAACTATCTCTGTGTAGTTTTAGCTCTAGTGGGTTTAATAAGTCTCTTCTATGATTTAACAGATGGACAATGCCAACCTGCCAGTTTAACAAGGTCTGATAGGGAAGTGCTCATGGTGAAGGCTTGCTCTGACTCTCTCTCCTATTGACTTCCGTGTAAAAGTAAACTCCTCTAGTTCAGTAACTGTTTGTGTCACACTCACGATCATGTGTTCTATAATGTGATATTCTCTTTTATGAACCCAGGTATGAGCCCTTTAAAGATTATCCAATCAGATGCATGTAAATGCCCAAAAATGGTGAGCAGTAGTTTACTTTTCAATGTAAGTGAATAGGAGCCAGAGATAATTGAGGCTTCCATGGGCAGTTAGCATTGTCCATCTGTATACAGTCAATGTTAGCATTGTCCATCTGTATACAGTCTGCAGTGGGCTTGTACCAGGACTGTCCCCCTACCCCTTCTGTCCAAACATGAGATTGCAAACCTAAAGGGTAATGCTTAAAAAAAGACAGCGTTGTAAGTTTAAATAAAGTATTTTATTTAGAGCTCTATCATAATTACAGACAAATACTTGAGACGTTTTGTTAATCTTATATACAGTGGAAGACAGCACATTCAGCCGCCGCAGGAGAAACACACGGAAAAGCAGATCTGTACGTTTGGTTACCCGCTCTATTGCATAAGCCGTATGAGGAAAGGCAGACGTTGCTAGGTAAAAATAGACTTCAGGTAAAGGACTTAAGCAGAAAACTCCCCAAAAAGTCGCAAAATATTAAAAGAAAATTGTAGCCAAAACTTAATAGACTTTTGATAGATTTAAAATCTTTCTCTATATTTACAAAATATACACTGCAGATAAATAGACAGCACAAAATCATAATTATTATATCTATATACATTAGATACATTACTATATACATTCAGAGACGAGTGGAAAAAGTCCTGTTTCCTAATAAAGGGAGAATTATACTAAAATATTGTTTCATAATTATAAATGCTAATGCTCTGAAAAACGGGAGGTAAGAATAGATATTTGGTCAAGCTGCACGGTATTGGGAAAAAAAGGGTGATGTGTGTGTGTATCGATGGATGTTGTGATATTCAAGTCACAGGTGTTCAAGTCCATACATTAACAAACAAGTGAAATGATGCATGATCCGTGATGTTTGAAGGCTGTAAAAGCATCACACACACTTTATACACTTTTCTAACCACTAGAACTTACCACCAAAGAGAGAGACCAGAGAGAGGCAAGAGAAAAGCCCAGAGAGAGACCAAAAAGAGAAACCAGGGAGAGTATATGATCTTGTTGGAGTATACATGTGGCCAAACGTGAACCGCATTAGATCGAGGGACCACTGTGTATTAACTGTAGTGAAAGAAAAGAAAAGATGGTGACAGAGTGAGCGCTCCTGTTCTGTGTTTTCCAGACAATCTTTGTATTTTAATATCGATTACTTATTGCACTTGCAGTTATCACCATGACAATCTTTTTTTCCATGTATCGTGCAGCCCTGGTATTTGGTGATTCACTTGGATTAATGTTATTGTTTACTTACATTTTTGCTGGTGTTCGAATTGCGTTTTAAAGATCTAAATATTTGGCCTTTTCTATAGTTTTAATACTATACAAAAAAGAAAATGTATTAAACACAGTGATATAAGAGGTAAATGTAAAAAAAATGATCAAAAAAACATTATTTGAATTTTTTAGAGAGATAAAATAGAAAAAAATGAATTATTGGTAATAATTCTACAGCTTTTTTCAGCCAAATAACTTGACAAAAATACTGAATCTAAACTCTTTCAAAAATAGTTATTATTTGTTATCTTTGAGACGTACCTTTATAGTTCACTTGTGTTCGATTTGTACCGTAAAAATGTTCAAATATGGACAATAATATTTCTCAAACTTCAAAACCGTTAGAATTTGTGGCTTCACCGCCGGAGTGTGTACCCGGGTCATACGCATGCATTTCCAAACACGCATACTTTTTTCCCTCTACAGAGAAATAAATAAATTACAAAACACTTGGTATGTGCTGCTGAGTCAAACTGAAAACCCCACCAATACTCTTAACATAGATAAAATAATATCATCGACATTATAAGGCAACTGGAATATCCAACATTCAAAACTTTCCAAAAAATAAATAATTTTTCAGTGTTTTTGAAGAGAGTCCATAAATATGTGGAGGGAGATTGGATGTAGAGGCGCTGTCCAGCAGTCTGTGGTTCAGGGCAAAACAAGGGAAAAATCTGAAAGGAAAGTCCAGCAGCAGTTTGAGCCGAAGAAGAGGCGACGAGTCTTTAATCTGAAAAACAAGACAAAAGGAAGAAACTGTTAAAAAGAGTCAGATTACACAGATTGTTGTTTTAGAGATTTGGTTGTGATGGTGTTGTGTTAGTTACTAGTTTGAATCATTGCTACTGCTACTATTGCTGCTGCTGCTACTGCTACTACTTCTGCTGCTGCTACTACTACTGCTACTACTATTACGGCTGCTACTATTGCTGCTGCTGCTACTACAAATACTACTGCTACTACTACTAGCTGCTGCTGCTACTACTACAACAACTGCTACTGTTACTACTAATAGTTATTGGGACATTCTATTTTATAACAGTTAAAATCTAAAAATCCAATCACCTCTGAATCTCCTCGCATCTTTCTCCTCAAACAGGCACGCACGTGCACACACACACACACACTCACGCACACACACGTGCAAGTGCACACACAGAGAAGCATGTAGCAGCCTTTTAATTACATAATCCGCGTAACCGAGGGGAGGGTGCGGGGGTCTTCCTTCTGTTGCTAAGGACGACATCGTGTGCAGGGGTAAATGTGACATCATCTTTACGGGGGAAGAGGAAAGACCATATATGTCGCATTAAGATTTCATAAACTGGCTATTTTTGAGGTCGCATGTAAGAGGAGGTAGTATAACAGCAGCAGCAGCAGTAGCAATGGTACTTATTTACATTTCTCCTAATGATATTCTGTAGTTTTTTAGGCTGGTGGATTATAGAAGAGATCTGCAGATTTTAGGAGAGAAGAAATACATTATTTCATGAGCAGCAGTAGTGAAGCTGAGGTTGTAGTAGTAATAGAAGTAGTAGCAGTATTCCCATGATCATCTGCCCTAGTTAATATGCATATGTGTTAAAATGCTCATACATCATGCAAAAAATCCATTTCGATCATAATATTTCCGACTCTTTCCTGGAAATACAGTATATAATTCCACTGTAAATCCTCTCCCTCTGCCCCTCCTCCACTACTACAGCGTGAGCCTCACTACTGCTGCAGCTGCTGCTACTGCTACTACTACTGCTACTTCAGCTACTACTAATCTCGTCTCTGCTTTAGGTGCCATTTACACGAGGACGCTGCAACAGTAAAACGTTAGAGTTGGATATTGGTTTGGCCTTTTGTTTTAATGAGATGGTGTCTCAGGAGGGTGAAAATGCAAGCTTTGAGAACATAGACTGCAAATATTTACAGACGTAGTCACACCTTTCTCCGCCGTTGAAACTTTTGTGACGCATGCGTTAGCTGGCACCAGCCCCATTCATTTAACAAGTGTCTTCTGAAGTCCACAGCGGTTAAACTAGAGTGGTCCAAAGAAATATAATCCCCTCAGTATTGACTCATATCTGGAACGTAGCTTTGGGCCAAGAGCAGACTTTTGGACCATCCTGTAAAGCCGTTTTCTATAAAAAAAAGACGCCAAAAGCATTGGAAAATTCTCTTTCTGGGTCCACCCCCACTGACCCGGGGTGGTATGGCAAGTATGTCAGCGCACGTGCTCATGGACGTTTTAGATCCGGGACCTGCTCCCACAGGAAACAGCCTCCAGAGTGGAACAGAACAGATATGCTGCGCTGCGGGAAACTGTTTCACAGCCGCATGAAGAAAAAGGTGTGAATTATCTGTCAGCAATGACCTCAGCACTTACATTTGGACATGCGCAGTAGCAGAGAACAAACATAGGCAACAATGGCGGCGGGTCAGCTGATCCTGCTGTTGCGTCAGTCTCTGCGTCAGTCTCTGCTACAGTCTCTGCTACAGTCTCTGCTACAGTCTCTGCTACAGTCTCTGCTACAGTCTCTGCTACAGTCTCTGCTACAGTCTCTGCTACAGTCTCTGCTTCAGTCTCTGCTTCAGTCTCTGCTTCAGTCTCTGCTACAGTCTCTGTTTCAGTCTCTGCTTCAGTCTCTGTTTCAGTCCAGTCTCTGCTACAGTCTCTGTTTCAGTCTCTGCTTCAGTCTCTGCTTCAGTCTCTGCTTCAGTCTCTGCTTCAGTCTCTGCGTCAGTCTCTGCTACAGTCTCTGCTACAGTCTCTGCTACAGTCTCTGTTTCAGTCTCTGTTTCAGTCTCTGTTTCAGTCCAGTCTCTGCTACAGTCTCTGTTTCAGTCTCTGCTTCAGTCTCTGTTTCAGTCCAGTCTCTGCTTCAGTCTCTGCTACAGTCTCTGCTACAGTCTCTGTTTCAGTCCAGTCTCTGCTACAGTCTCTGCTACAGTCTCTGTTTCAGTCCAGTCTCTGCTTCAGTCTCTGCTACAGTCTCTGTTTCAGTCTAGTCTCTGCTTCAGTCTCTGCTACAGTCTCTGTTTCAGTCCAGTCTCTGCTACAGTCTCTGTTTCAGTCTCTGTTTCAGTCTAGTCTCTGTTTCAGTCTCTGTTTCAGTCCAGTCTCTGCTTCAGTCTCTGCTGAAGTGTTAGTCTCACTTTATTCATTCAGTGGAAACTGTGACACAAGAGAGTTTTGTGCTCGGGTCGAATGACTCTGGTTTCTCTGCTCCACAAAAACAACAACAACAACTTCTGGACTTTCTTATTTCAAGATAGAAAAAATAGCTGATTACAGACATGGGTTTCAAACAGATATCTTAAAGCTGGGGTACGTAACTTTAGTTTAACAAATAGCACTTTAAATTTGTCCGACAGAAAGAGACTTGTAAAAGTAAAATGTTGTGAAGAAATCAGACACAACATGCTGCTTTCATCTCATTTGTGTAAGTAAGAGCCCTATGAGTCACTATTTGCCACTTTGAGCTGAGAGCTGATTGGCTGAGTGAGGGTGCTCCTGTCTTTTTCACTTTTCTGGTCAAACATGCATGAAACTAGTGATGGAAGGAACTGTTTTAGAGCCAGGAACTAGTGACACGGATTTTGGGACAGTGTTCTATTGTCGGTTTAAAAGTTATGCACCTCAGCTTTAATGTGGCAAGACTAAGCGAGCGCATGTGGTTTTAAATATTGCGTAATAATAAAATGCGCTGCACATGCATCGATCAGGCTGAGTGAAGCTGCAGACGGCTCAGGTTAATCCAGAGCGGGACAGAACATCCACTCAGACCCAACAACTGGGTCACACGCTTCAGGAGCAAGCACAGAAATAGAGACTCTTTCTGGAATCAGCACGTGCACATTGGAAGAAAAATATAACACATTTTTCCAGATATATTTGTAGAAAAGTGTAGGAAACTAACAATCTCTCACTGTTGTAGCAGTTGCAGCAGCAGTAGTAGTAGTACTAGTAGTTGTACCAGCAGTATCATTAGCAGTAGCAGTAGTATTCTTCGGATTCTCGTTTGAAATAAGGGCAAAGCTGAAATGTATTGAGTTTTGCAGAGGTATATATTGTCTGATTTAGTGAAAAAACAAAAACAAAACTAAACTCACATCAATAGAGTTTATTGTGTGGAGTTTGCAACATCATCCTATAATCTTCTGTTTGCTTCCGTTTTCCGTCCTCCTCCTCCACTTTCTCTCCTCAGCCTCAACAACAGCACGTTTCTCAGTCTGCAGCTGAAGCCAGGAGCCAATGAGGCCACAACTCTGCACGTGCTCCAGAAACGCACACAAACACACATCTCTGATCCTTTCAAACACACATCTCTGGCCCTTCAAAATTGGTTGAAAAATAATTGTGCTTTTAAATATGACTACTATAATTATGTGTGTGTATGTGTATTGAGTTGTGTGTGTGTGTTGTTCCCTGGGGCCTGAACCTCTGAATGGGAAACATGAGAGGAATGTGTGACGCTACACCTGCTGCTTGTTTTGAAGTCTGGAAAAGGGCAAAAAACAGGTCTGAACTTGGACTGAACCAGGTCTGAAGCAGGTCTGACGCAGGACTGACGCAGGACGGAGCAGGATGGAACCAAGTTCACTCGTTCGCAAATTCCTATATTCAGTGTTAAAAGACAAATTCCTAAAATTCACCAAAGTCTCCTTCAATATATTTATCTTTGCATTTCTGTTGAGAGAAATACAATATAATACAATACAATATTTATTGATCATTAATCATTAAAAACGCTTTTTATTATTCTTAAGAACTGTCCCAAACTCAAAGTATGAACATTAGCTAACAGGCTAGTGCTAACAGGCTAGTGCTAACAGGCTAGTGCTAACAGGCCATGGGCCCTCTCTGCTGCTCTATATCATCTACACATGTTGTCGAGAGTTGCGAACGCGGCAGGAATGTGTTTTTCACTCCGAGCCCTGGGCATTTCCCATTTTCTCTTTTTCTCTCTTGTTTTTTCAGCACGCCTGAGTTGGCACTGCGTCAGTGTCACTGAGTTAACCAGGATTATTGGATTATTCACAGAAATACACCACAAAAGCACTCATTTTCACTCACTCACAACTCATTTTGAAGTTTTCTGTGGCTTCTTTCAGATGAGACTTTGATCGTGGTAAAAAAGGGCGATACATTCAACAAATCTTGAATATATTGAATGGAAATATTTAATTAAAATATGTAATGCGTTTAAAAACTCTTTTTCACACATTCTTCTGCAACTGCTACTACTACTACTACAATAATAATAATAATAATAATAAATCGGTTTTATATAGTGCTTTTTTGGACGCTCAAAGACGCTTAACATGTCATTATTCTTTCACTCCAAACCCGGTGGTGATAAACTACTACTGTAGCACACTGACAGAAACGAGGCAACCAGTATGTGCCATCGGCCCCTCCGACCACTACCAACCATTCACACACACACCAGACTCCTTCTAGGCAATGGGGGTGAAGTGTCTTGCCTAAGGACACAACGGCAGTTTGGCACTTTACAGCCGCAGCCGCTCCACTGTGGCTGGTGTTCCCAGAGGTTAAGTGTCTTGCCAAGGACACAACGACAGCAGACAGTGGGAGTCGGTGAACTGAGACACTGTCGCTCCATGTACTACTAAGGAGCAAATCTACAAAACTTGTTCTTATGTTTGCTTTAGTCCTGCTGTAGTCCTGCTGTAGTCCTGCTGTAGTCCTTCTGTAGTCCTGCTGTAGTCCTGCTTTAGTCCTGCTTTAGTCCTGCTTTAGTCCTGCTTTAGTCCTGCTTTAGTCCTGGTTCAGTGACAGCCATGTCCTCCCTCTGCATGTTTATGAATGGCATTAGCGTGGCTGGTGACTGCATGTGGAGGACGTGCACAGCACTTGTTTACTTCTCTCTGAGCAGCGATCACGTTTCAAAGCACCCTCTCCTCTCTCCTCCCACCTCATTCCTATCTCCTCTTTCCTCTCTCCAAACAGCCAAATCAACAACTGTTCATTGATTTAGCGACATTCCGAAGCAACTTAAGAACTCTCTAAGACAGTATCTGCCCACTAATAATGACACTTTAGACTTAAGACAGAAGAAATAAGTGATGGAAGCTACATGTTAGAAAACTGGCCGAAAACAATAGATCTTAACCATAAAGACTACAGAAATAACCAGCACCAGTATATAAGCACCACCTTATTTTGGATTTTTTGAAGAAAATCAATGTTTTCCACATATCGGCCACACCTAATTATAAGCAGACGACTGTTTTAACTGGACACAGCTTAACGGTTAGCTTCCATGCCTCTTTCACCTTGACAACAGCACAACTCTAGGAAAAAAGAAACGGCTTATAGTCCAGAAATTACAGTAATTATTAAGCATCTTGAAGTTGCCATATTGCCACATCCAAATCTGAAAGAATCATCCCTGTGAGTAACTATTTGACTCTTTGGGCTGCTCACCTTTTGCGGTGGTAGCGGTCTCTTTGAAGCCGAGGCACACATACGCCGGCGCGCGCAGGCCGTGGACCACCCCTTTACAGCTGTGTGCGTTGGGGAAGCTCTCCTCTGGCTTCCCCTCCAGCAGGGCCAGATAGTTCAGGCCATACCCAGCCCCAGAGGCCCCGCCGTGGGCCACCGGGCTGCCCGCGCTGGCCTCCTCGTCCGAGCCTTCACTGGAGCGTGACGATAGGTTCTCCACCGAGCTGTGACGCTTCAGGGGAGACTTTTGAGCAGAGCTGAAGAGAGAGAGAAATGTAGTTTGAGTGGCTTCTGGCTCTCCACAAGACCAAAGAGCGGTCAAACACCAGAAACAAAACTGCAGACGTGCACCAGGCTGGGAAGACTGAATCTGTAAGAGGTAAGCGGCTTGGTGTGAAGAAATAAACTCTGGGAGAAATTAAAATGAAAGACCTAGTGAATGACCTGCAGAGAGCGTCTGAGCACATCAATCTCTACAGGAGATCAGCATGGAGGAATGGGCCAAAATACCAGAAACAGTGTGTGAAAACCTTGTGAGCTCTGTCATTGCCAACAAAGGGTTTAACAAAGTATAGATATGAACTTTTGTTATTGACAAAATACTTATTCTCCACCGTAATTTGCAAATAAATTCTTTAAAAATCTGAGAATGGGATTTTCTGGATTTTTTTCTCATTCTGTCTCTCATAGTAATGAGACTTATACCTATGATGAAAACTACAGGCCTCCTGAATCTTTTTAAGTGGGAGAACTTGCACAATTGCTGGCTTACTAAATACCTTTTTGCCCCACTGTATATCAGTGTGGCCTATATCTGGACAAGTACTTTCTTTTAAAATGTTGCTGGTGTGGCTTATAGAAAGGTACGCCCTCGGCTAAAGTCCAGAAAGAAAGAAAGAAATTGAATCTTCCTGTAGTTGTTAGAACATCTGTCTATATTCTTACTTGAGGGCAAAAGAGGGCTGGACCGGAGTGACTGTGGCCGTGGAGGAGAAGGTCTCGGAGCTGTGGCGTCTGCGTCCTGTGGGATTGGCCCGGATCACTTTAGCTACGCAGTCCGGGTCTGGGGCTGGGTCCAAGAGGAAGACCCCCACACGGAGCTCATCTGGGACCTGGAGCACGGCAGAGAGGGGGGTCCGGCTGCAGGACAAACAACATTTATGATCTTCTGCCGAGATAACTAATGTTGTGATTTAGGGCTACACAAAAATAAATCGAAGTCAATTCAATTTAATCCAATTAAACATAAATGTCTAACTAATGTTTTCTTGTTAGATAAACATTTCTATATAGTTTTACACAACTTACTTTTGTATGGACTCAGGCTGCATGATTAATAGCAATCAATCTCTTTTATAGGTTGAAATGAGCAAATCACTAAGAGAGAAATCATTGAAATCTTATGCACTACAATTACAAGAGCATGGTTAAACTGGGGGGGGGAATTATCTAGATTTTATGAATATTTATAGCCACAAATTGGTAAGTGCAGAAGACGGTGGCAATTATTTCCTATTTTGTGCTTGTTTCATTCCAAAGTAGCAGCAGCAGCAGCAGCAGTATTTGTAGTAGTAGCCAATAACATGTCCTGGAATTCTAAGCTGTGGGCGATTGTTTAGCCTTTCGTCCTGTTGAAATAAACAAAGGAATGTACAGAAATTTCAATCAATCAAAACAGAACTCAATATTTTATTGTTTTTACACAGTTCAAAAAGATTCAAACGAGGCCCAAGGATAGAGGACGTTCTAAGGCTTTAGTATCTCACTACAGCGCCCAATTGAAAACATTTTGTTTTTCACGCATAATTGTTTTTAGTTTTTTCTCAATTTTTCCCTCCGCTCGAGCCGTGTCCCTGTGTTTAATCAAAGCTGGGACAAATCAGACAGTTCCAATCTGAGCTTTTATAAGAAAACGCAAACCCAGGACCAATTTTCAAAGAATGGAGAAACAATAAAACGGCAAAGACAGTGTGTACCAAAACATGTTGAGTAAGACGGATCAGATAACCTCCGGCTTTGACCTGAGAGAACTGTTCCTGTACAGACCTCCTAATCTAACCATGCATCATGCAAAGTTGACAAATAAAGATATTGCCATTTTTCATGGGCTAAATTGTTTAAATTTAAGTATAAACTACCTATTATTGTTCTCAAATTTAAATATATTTTTTAGTCTTGATACTAACAAGCCTAGATCCAAGTAAAAAAATACACAATTCTCAAAGCTACAGTCATTTTGAAGCATTTTGTTTGGTTAAAATAGCAGGAAACAGCTTGATAGTCAATGTCAAAAATTGTCAAACCCATGTTTCTTGTTCTTAGCTCTAAAACCGTTTGTTTCCATCACAAATTCCAGGTATTTCTGCCTCTGTCACATCTTTAGATCAGCTTTTTCAGACAGAAAAGTTAAAAAGAGAAGAGCACCCTCACTCAGCCTAAAAGAGTCAAATAGGGACTCACAGGGCTCATAATGTTTTCTCATTAGATAGACAGCATATTGTGGTCTGTTTTGACTCTTTGCTGTATATTTTTTTAAGGGAAAACTACCCCAGGTTTAAATTCTAAAGGACAAAATGGTTCTCACCTTACTGAATTTTGTGGCACCATCTGCAGAGGCGAGCTGCTCATCCCAAAGCTCATCTCCTGGTATTCGCCACCGTTGTCCTCTCCTTTTCCTCGGACCGGATCCTTCTCGCCGTCTGAAACATCTGCTTCCGGTTTCACTCCCAAACCTTGATTCATGTAGTCGCTCGGTCCACCAGTCGAGCCGAGAGATGAGGCCTGGCTTTCTGTGGAGACTGTGGACGGCGGAGAGAAGTGTGCGGGGTTGAACTCGATGTTGATGTATTCTCCCGGACTCCGCGGCTCGTTGCTTGGGTGCTCGTTCATGCTCGGGAGCGTCCGCACCGCATCCAGAGACAGGCGGTTAGGTCGTCCCGTGCACCCTCTGTAGCTACCGCCGCTATCGTTGCGCCCACTTCGCACCGGAGATGGCGTCAGTGGCGAGTTCTGTCCAGGCTGCATCACAGAATAGTAGTCGGAATCGCCGTTTCTTTGTTGGGAATTCTGTGGGCTCATCATGACGTACTGACCGTCCTCGGTGTGAAGCCGCGCAGGCCGGGTTAGCGAAGCCGCCGGTTGCGCAGCTTCGGTGATGAAATAGTCGGGTGGAGTCTGGAGCTGCGGTGGGTTTCCTGGAGACATGTTCATATATTCTCCACTTCGGTCGGGGCTGTCCATGCTAGATTTGGAGCCGCAGTACATGTGCATGTAACCACTATCTTCAAGAGAGCTGCCACACGGAGAGTTAGCCTTGTGGTTGTGAGCACTGGCCACTTGGGGCTGCCCTCTGGGGCTCACAATCTGTTTAGGTGCAGACACACACATCGGGCTCATGAGAACGTAGCTGTCGGCTTTGGGAGATTGCGCATTCTGTGACGGCTGCACAACACCCGGCGTCATCGGCATGTAGCCTTCTTCAGCTAAGTTACTGTTGGAACTCTGCACAGACCCGATCTCAATGTCGCCGTAATCTTCAGGGTACGACACTTTGGGAGAAGCAGACTGCAAGTTCTGACCCATGCGCATCAGGGTGTACTCGTCCAGGGAGGCGGAGGACAGCGGCGCGACCACTCTCTGCTGCCGCGGCGTGGTCAGTGAGTGTGTTCTTTTGCGGTAAGCTTTGTCGATGCTTCCGGTGGATTTTGGGCCTTCCATGATCATGTATTCGCCCAGGTCACTGGTGTCACGAGAGGGTGGCGTGCTGCACAGTGAGTCAGGCGTGTTGCTTCGTATCAGGGGCACAACGCGCGCCTCGCTCGGGCTAGAGCTGAAGTCCTCACAGAGCATGAAGCCGTTATCGCTGAGGGAGCCGGAGATGGACGCGCTGCAGCTAAACGGCCGTCGTGTTTTGTCTGGTGTGTAGAGCGAGGCAGTGGCGCGGGGAGACGAGCTAAGCGGACTGGACGCAAGCGGGGGCGAGCTGCTGGGGATGGAGCGGCTGTGGAGGTTCGATGCCGACTCAAGCATCCTGCATGTACGGCCGCTGCTCAGTGTATGCGCACGAAGCCGGGGGTTGCCAAGGCTTGAGGAACTCGCTGCGATTGGGATGGACATTGACACGGGCCGCATCGCGCTGCCGTCTCCCTCGCTGGCCGTGCGCACTCGGCAAGATGTAAACTTTCTGCCCGGCGACTGTGCTGCCACGCTGTCTGTACGTGAGCGCCGGACCAGCCCAGTCTGACTCGGTGGGAGGTTGGCAAAGTTGCGTCGCGTTGGAACCGAAATCGGATTGGTGCTCGCGGACTGGCTCTTGCTGCGCGGCCTAAACTCGGACAGCTCCTTCATTGCTTTCATCGCCTCCAGAATGGTTTCATGTATGTTCTGCGCCACCACCAAGTCCTCCGCTTGCATCCAGAACTCCCCGGCCCCGGTCATGGCCGACCGCCCCACTTCAATGAAGAAGAAGTTATCGGAATGTCCACATCGCCGGATATTCATCAAGGGCAGAATCACCGCGGGAATCTTGGAGTTGAGTTTGACGAAGCTAATAGTACGACTGGACAGACACAGACGATAAACCCCGACCATATTTTTCACTTGCCCCAAACCTTTGGCCTTGAGGTTCACCTGCCACATTTCTTTGTACGCAGCGTTAACGGCGTCCACGGCTCCGTAGCTACTCCCACTGCTGGACTCTTCGAACCCCACGAGAGATGACGTAGACACGGGGCTATCATACACTTTCCCCTCGGCGATCAGCTCGCTCAGGACGTCGTACCAGCTCTGCTGCTCCTGCTCGCCGTCAGCAGCCACAGCGAAATACTCATCTTTAGTGTACAGCGCGATGAGGTGCTTGTGTTTGGCGTCTGCGCGCTTGTTTACGCACAGACACGAGTCCAAAGTTATGCATCGCTTCGCTGCAGATTTGTTCCTCCATTTCTTTTCGTTTTCATAATATTCCAGGCGTGCGGGACTGCTTTCCGTCGCCTCTTGGAGTACGAAGAATCTCCGGTGTCCATGCTTCTGCTTCCTGAGGTACCCACATTTCTTCACGCCGCCGTTAGATATCAAGTGTCCCCCGGGGGTTGGTGTAGTGAGTGGGGGACTCGCCATTTCTCTCGGATACCCCCACCAAAACAAACCGCTTTGCTGCAGGAATACTGTCAAAAACGATAATTAAATGCGTTGTGAATGTTCGTCAGTCCATTCCTGCGCTTGCGTGCATCATCGTGGAGTCCCAGCCGCTTGGATCTGCTCTTCAGCTGAGGAAAACAACATGTGACGATCTAAAAACAGAGCAAACACAAGTAGTCATCGAGAGGCGGGCCGTTCCGAAAGGGGCCGTGCCTGTCAGTCAAACCGATCCCACGCTTGTTATTGGCTCCTGACCTGGTCCCGGTCCTGCCCCTTGTTTCTCAAACAACTCCGTCATGTAAAACGCAAAATTGGCAATGTCCTTTTTTGAAAAACAATAATTAGCTTTTTCAGTCGCGTGGAGCTATAATCTCCAAATATCCAATATAGTCATGTCTGGCGCCACGTGTTCAACATATACTCATTTTAGTGTTTGTAAATAATCACGAATCAAACTGTATTCATCATCTTTCTCAGCCTCCGAGGGTAATTGATTGTATCTAGCTGTTGTGTATCTGTGCATTGAGCTGGGGACAGATCATCGCCGTGAAACCCGCTGCTACAAACATGTAAACAAGCACAATGTCCTAGTTGTTATGTAAGTGCTGTTGTGGCCTATTTTTACTCCACGGGTATCCCACTGTCACTACACTGTGCTTGCATCCTGCTCTGTATGAGAAGTCATAATAATAAACAATTATACAAAGCAGAAATACATCAAATGTATTTCTGCTTTGTCTAATCGTTTATTATATCCTTGATAATATGTAGTCTTTATCTAATTGAAAATACTTTACTTTGATAATTGCGTTATGTTGTTTGGGGAGAAGGCGCTAAAGCTCGGGGTATAAGAGCAGATAGCATCGAAGCCAAACTGTCCACAATTTAAACTAAAGGAATAACATACGTGTCATAACATGAGAAACTAAACAAGTGCGTCAGAAGATGACGTAAAACAGAGCAGCGCTGCCCCCTAGAGGCAGCGCTGCTCTGTAACAGCTTATGTAAAGGGACATTAAAGCTCAAGAAAATCCCACTGTGTAACCATACTTGCATGTGAAAGCCAGATCTCTTCAGACATCTCAAGATGTGTAGGGCTGTACTGTGATGGGAGACCTTTGGGAACACCAGGTGCCACAGTGGCCGGATACAGCTGTAAAGGGCCAAACTGTAGTTGTGTCCTTAGGGAAAACACTTCACCCACATTGCCCAGAATAAGTCTGGTGTATGTGAATGATTGGTAGTGGTCAGAGGCACAGACTGGTTACCTCGCTTCTGTCAGTGTGCCCCATAGCAGCTGTGGCTGCAGTTTATCACCAGTATTAGGAGTGAAAGAATAAAGACATGCGAAGCGTCTTTGAATGCCCTTAAAAGCGCTGTATAAAACCCATGTATTATTATTATTATTAATATCATTACTGCTACTACTATACTACGACTGATACTTTTTGTGTGTATATCACAGTAAGTAAGAATAACATAATAAATGTCTAATCTCTACATACAGTGTTTTCTCTGTGTTTTCCGAGGTCAGTGGTCGGTGGATGTTTTGATCGGGGGCAGTGATGTGGATCAGGTAAGTGTAAACACCAAACACATGTCATGTACATTATCCCATTAATTATGACACTGCCCCCAATGCAATAAGAAAAGTCCAGTGCGGTTTTCTTTCGTCAAAAATGAAGTCATTTTTGTGGATCAACTGTTGGGGCGAATAAACTATATAGGGCGGCACGGTGGCTGAGTGGATAGCACTCTCACCTCTCAGCAAGAAGGTCCTGGGTTCGAATCCCGGTTGGACCAGGGCCTTTCTGAGTGGAGTTTGCATGTTCTCCCCGTGTCTGCGTAGGTTTCCTCCGGGTACTCCGGTTTCCCCTACCACTAAAAAATGTGCCTCCTGTACTGGCCCCATTCCCAAAAATAACAATTGTAAACCGCTTTGAGACTCCGATGTGCAGTGAAAAGGCGGTATATAAATAAAGATTACTTACTTACTTACTTACTTACTTACTTGAATGTTAAAGCCGAGCTACTACTTCTACTACAACAACTACTACTACTCCTGCTGGTGCCCAGAGTCAGAACTAAACATGGGGAGGCTGCATTTCAGATTCATGGTGCTAAAATCTGGAGCCATCTTCCTGACAACGTGACACAGGCCTCCTCTCTGACAATGTTTGAAACCAGGTTAAAAACTGTTCTGTTTAGCTGTGCATACAACTGAGGGATTTTATATTTTTATCTTTCTTTTTAATGTACTGTGATTATCTGGATTGTAATGCTATTTTGTCTTGTTCAGGATTTTGAGTTGCCTTGTGTATGAATTGTGCTATACAAATAAACTTGCCTTGCCTTACTACTTGTAATATCTGAACTCTGAATATTGTAAAGCACTTTGGGTGACCTTGGTCTGTGAAATGTGCTATTCAAATAAACATGACTTTCTTACTGTTACTACTAATACTACTGCTACCACTGCCCTGGTCTCTTCCTCTTCTAATTGTTGTATATGTCACAACCCTCAGATTAGGATTTGAAGGTGTCAGTGTGAATCCTATTGTTTTTGGATTATAGCTTGTTTTTGAGACACACTGGGATCAGGAGCCGGTTCACGCGGGGTAGATTACAGATGAAGAAGAGCACAAATATTATTGCACTTTTCATACTTTGTCACAAGGTTCTGGACTAAACGCCTCTTTGTAGCAGCTGAACGTGACTTTGATCTGGTCTGTTGTGATGCTAATTTATGAATCCAAATGATTTGAATCGTTAGATTAGTCTAGATTCAACTTCATTATTATTACCGCGTCAGAACAATGCGACAAAATGCAGTTTAGCATGAAGCCAATAGTGCAATAGTGCAGGTATAGGATAATATTTATAACACATAATTAAGCATGTCCATAGAGTACAAATGCAAACAATTCACATACAAGGTCCCTTAGGTCCGTCCTCCCTGCTGCTGTCAGACTGTACAACAAGAACTGCTACGCCTGTGCATGTCATTTCTTTGAAAATAGTAACTACTGCAATTTCAGAATGTCCACTGAATCCATCCACTTTATTCAGCCCATATTTATATGTACTACTCCCATTATGAAGCGTTTACAGATGCTCCTCGTGTACTCTCACTACAGGGCAATATTTATGTATTTTTTCCATAGCACAGTTCATACACAAGGAAATTGAAAGTGCTAATCGAAACTTGATAGAAAAAAAATCACAAAAGGCATCGGAGTCCCAGCAGGAGGCCAGTCCCTGAGCTAAACTTTGCTTCAAACACTTTCATGTATCTCTGGCCCCTGTCACATCTTGAGATCAGCTTTTTCTGACAGAAAAGTAGAAAAGAGAGGAGCACCCTGACTCAGCCAATCAGCTCTCAGCCCAAAGAGTCAAAGGGAGTCTGTTTTCTATCAAGATGAAGAAGGCATGTTGTGGCCTGATTTGTTCACTACATTTGACGTTGATAAGACTCTTTCTTTTAGACATTGTGTTATTCATGGAGAAGTAAAGTTAGATACCCAAGTGTCAGCCTTCATCAGGTTTAGGAGAACCTTTCATAATATGGTTTGTAAATGAATTTGACTGAGTAAAATGTAATAAATCTACGTAGTCAGCCAGAGGGGGGGTCTCCTCTTCCTCTTGGATCTCCTTTGATCTCTTCTGGTCATAATCTGGTTTATTTGTTCAAATGATAGCAGCCGTAACGTTAATCTCCATGTGGGAAACAAAAACACCTCCTGAGCTGGGATTAAAGACATCATAACAATACAAACATCAGAATTAGGATTACGGATGCTCAGATTAAAGACTGTGGGAAATTTGCAGTGGAATAAACACATCTGTTTACAGTGCTACTTATCAAAAATATTATTGTATTTATGCTGGTGTACATCCAGTTAGGCCGTAATCTGCTGAAATTACAGAAATATAATAACATTTCATCTATTATAGATGTTGTTTATCACAGTGAATCTTTAATTGTATTTTTACATCTGACTCAAGTAAGCATTGAGATGCCAGTTCAGACATCGCCCGGCCAAACAAGGTCTGTGTCAGGTGCTGGGGAGCCAGAGCACCTGACTGGAAAAGTGGGCGAGACGCAAGAGCAGGGCTCTGTTGGAATGCTGCTACTCGAGTATCCCTGGCCAGAGTAGTTACATGCAGAGTATGTAGCTCAATGCTCCAACATCCACAAACAGCAACTTCTATCACAGCTTGAGATCTATGAGGTACATGCCACAGATGTAACAGATTCTGCTGTCAGAGGAGAGGTCCCACCAACACTGACTCCCTGACTAGATATTGGGTACAAAACACCAATGAAACAGATATCGCTGAACAAGCCAGTGACTGACCTGAAAGCTAAGATTGTGGTAAAAATGGGCACAGGGCACAGACCCCGCTTACAGTGGTTGTGTGAAGTCCCACCTAAAAGTTTAATAGAAAGCGTGAATGCAGCAGTGAGGGCAATACCCAACACCACAATCCGTGAAACCAGTGAGCTGATATACAGTGCTTGGCTAGCCAACGTGTTGCCAGACATTGACTCTCTTATCCATACCACCAGGATCTACAGCCATGACATCGGGATATTATTTCAACTCGAGAAATGTAGCAGGATGGTGACTCAGAGGGAAGGTAGTCCACACAGAAGGGATCCCACTCCCAGAGGGAACAATAACAGATGTTTAAGACAGCTACAAGTATCCTGGTATACCACAGGCAAATGGCAACCTCGAACTGCTAAATACCTCCAGAGTAAGGCAGGTCCTAAGAAGCCAACACACTGGCAAGAACAAGGCCCGGCCAATTAACAGCTACGCCAGTGATCAGATACCCTGCAGGAATTATCAGAGATTCAGACCACCGATGTTCCATCCAAAATCCAGCACCCTGAGACTGTACTTAAGCCGTAGAGAAGGAGGCCGAGGACTAGTGAGTGTGAGAGCCACTGTCCAGGACGAAACATTCAAACTCCACAATTACATCATGGAGAAGGCCCAAACGAATGACTTACTCAGTGAAGGTCTCAGACAGTGGCGAGATGAGGAGGTGCTGGACGAGAGCCCATCATGGGAGGACAAGCCCTTACACGGCATGTACCACTGGAGCTGATCAAGAAGTCCTACCAATGGCTAGAAAGGGCTGGCCTCCAGGACAGAGGCACTCAGGCCCTGAGCACCAGAGCAATAGAGGCCCAGATACACCACACCAGACAAGACCCAAGGTGTTGGTTGTGCAAAGAGGCACCTGAGACAATACAACACATAACTGCAGGGTGCAAGATGCTGGCAGGGAAGGCCTACGTGGAGCACCATAATCAAGTGACTGGCAAAGTTTACAGAAACATCTGCAGAGTATTGACTGGAAACCCCAAAGTCTAAATGAGAAACTCCTCCAAAGGTGGTGGAGAATGAGCGTGCGAAGATCCTGTGGGACTTCCAGATACAGACCGACCGAATGGTAATGGCGGTCCAACACGACATCGTAGTGCAGAAGAAAACCGTGGTGGTGGACGTGGCAATTCCAAGAGAAAGCTGGAGGAATACCAAGGGCTCAGAGAGGAGCAGGAGAGGGCCTGGAAGGTGAAGGTGACAGTAGTGCCGTGGTGATCGGTGCACTCGGGGCAGTGACACTAAAACTGGAGGAGTGGTTACAACAAATCCTTAGCACAACCTCGGAAATCACAGCACAGAAATATGCAGTGCTAGGAACAGCAAAGAGCAACCATGGGAGCCATGAGAAACAATACCCACCATGGAACAGACGGTTGGAGGCTAAAGATCAAGGCTGCTTGGGGAAGTTAGTCCATTAAGAGAGACGTGTCAATTAACAGAGGCGTGCAATGAAAAGAAGTACAGCCAGATCCCGAGACCCGGTGATCCAAGATGGCGCCCTATTCAAATGAATGGCTTTGTCACGGTGGGAAGGAGGAGGACTCAAAATGCAGGAATGCCAAAATTATGATTTAATAAAATAAAAGTCCAGAGAAAAACAAACTCAAAATCCAAAAACGGAACCAGGAACGAAGACAATACAGGACAGATATCGATAAGACAAAACAATGGACCAGCAACCCGGGAAAGGAGCACAGGGTACATATAGACAGACACAGGTGAAACACATCAGGGCGGGGAAGACAATCAAGAGGGCGGGGAAGACAATCAAGAGGGGAACAGGACAGGAAGCAAAACTGAAATGAAACCCACAGAACTAATGGCAAAATAAAACCAAATACAGAAATATAATCCACACCATGACAGGCTTGTGCTCAGTAGCGCATGGGACTTCACGGGGACCGGGTGATTAGCTGAACTCGCCTATATTTGGGCATCTTCTGGTCCTCCCGGTTCTGCGCAGTGGATTATCTCCCATGATGCGTCGCGCCAAATATGTGTGTGTGGCTTTCATGCACGCGCACAGAGCATGGATCTATTATAATAAGGCTTAGAGAGGCTCGGCCGCGCTCTGACCAATCAGACCAGCAACAGAGCGGAGTCAGAGCATGGATCTATTATGCGGGAAGGTAAGGAGCAGAGTTTGTTGCAGTAAAGTGTGGATTTAAAGAAAACCGAAGGATTTAAGAAGAAAAAAAGTTCAGGATGACAAGGGACACTAAAATCCCCCAAAACCAGATCTTTATGAAAGTTTAGGTTCTCTGTCAGCTGAGGTCGAGCTGTTTTAATTTACATTAAGATCTATGGGACTTTTTTATGGGTAGCCCTCGTGAATTTAGTCTGCAGTACCACATGCGCCCCCTGTGCCCATGGGTGGGACAGCTTTAAGCTAGTAATACCCTATCCAGTTATTATTATAGATCCATGGGATAACCATACTTGAGGCACTCAAAACTGCCAAACAAAAGCTCCATGCCCTGGCTAGTCGCCTACAGAGGTACATTAAAGTGAATGAAGCCTGACGAGTAAACGGGGAGCATTATTACTTAAACTTAATACAAATTATAATAATAATATTTTCTATAGTTATTATTAGCAAACCCATAGTCTAACCACATGTAACGCTGACACGGGCTAACCATGGATCTATGATATTATTGGCTAACACTCACGTTAGCATCGTACTTTCGGTTTCTCTGACAAGATTAAACCGAAATCCTAATAGATTAAAATACAAAAACAATATCCACCGCTGCTTATAAATCACGTGTCTGCTCGTATATATTAAATTATAATATTAATTATATTTCCCACGAGAAGGAACCAAACAGTCTAAAGTCACATAATCATCGCACTTCATCATCGATTCTTAAACGCGTTATTCTTAGAACATTTTTATAAAATCTACAACTGCGTATGAATCACACATGTGCCGGAAAAACTTTATTTTACTATTTACTTTTGTTATTTTATACGTAACTTCCGCCTTTCTCCTCTCGCACTAGGAGCAGCCGAGCAGCTTGCCTGCTCCGAGTGCAGAACACAGACTGCGTGCAGCATAAAACAGCCGATCATCGCCTGGTTCCTTCATCACTTCTGCACCGTGTCATGTCCGCAGAGCCGCACAGACAGAGGCCCGGTGTGGGAGTTGGGGTCTTGGTCACAGACACGCTCCATCCCGGCTGTGTGCTGCTGGGGAAGCGCAAAAACTCCACGGGACACGGGACGTACCAGCTCCCCGGGGGACACCTGGAGTTCGGGTCAGTGTGACGGAGACGGGACGTACAGTAGTGTTTGAAAGTTCACACACTCACGCAGAAATGTAATTGTTTTGGACATACTTGGGAGATTATTATAAGTACAATTTTTGACTTTTACCCACTCATTGTGATTGTGTGAAGCCATATTGTTCAGTTCAAGCAAGGCGCCCCTGGAAGTTACAGGAACTGAAGACGTTGTGCCAAGAAGAAAGAGGAGGTTTACCATCAATTGATGTTGGCAAAAGACAGGAGAGAGACCAAAGAGAGAGGGGGAGACCAAAGAGAGAGGGAGACCAAAGAGAGAGAGACCAGAGAGGGAGAGACCAGAGAGGGAGAGACCAGAGAGGGAGAGACCAGAGAGGGAGAGACCAGAGAGGGAGAGACCAGAGAGGGAGAGACCAGAGAGGGAGAGACCAGAGAGGGAGAGACCAGAGAGGGAGAGACCAGAGAGAGGGAGAGACCAGAGAGAGGGAGAGACCAGAGAGAGGGAGAGACCAGAGAGAGGGAGAGACCAGAGAGAGGGAGAGACCAGAGAGAGGGAGAGACCAGAGAGAGGGAGAGACCAGAGAGGGAGAGACCAGAGAGGGAGAGACCAGAGAGACTGAGACAACCTCTCTGATCATGGAAATGTTTAAATGATTTGTTTGAATGATTTGTTTAAATGTTTTGAGATGAATAAAAAGAACCTACCTACCTACCTACGACCAGAGAGACTGAGACCAGAGAGACTGAGACCAGAGAGACTGAGACCAGAGAGACTGAGACCAGAGAGACTGAGACCAGAGAGACTGAGACCAGAGAGACTGAGACCAGAGAGACTGAGACCAGAGAGACTGAGACCAGAGAGACTGAGACCAGAGAGACTGAGACCAGAGAGACTGAGACCAGAGAGACTGAGACCAGAGAGACTGAGACCAGAGAGACTGAGACCAGAGAGACTGAGACCAGAGAGACTGAGACCCAGAGAGACTGAGACCCAGAGAGACTGAGACCCAGAGAGACTGAGACCCAGAGAGACTGAGACCAGAGAGACTGAGACCAGAGAGACTGAGACCAGAGAGACTGAGACCAGAGAGACTGAGACCAGAGAGACTGAGACCAGAGAGACTGAGACCAGAGAGACTGAGACCCAGAGAGACTGAGACCCAGAGAGACTGAGACCCAGAGAGACTGAGACCCAGAGAGACTGAGACCCAGAGAGACTGAGACCCAGAGAGACTGAGACCCAGAGAGACTGAGACCCAGAGAGACTGAGACCCAGAGAGACTGAGACCCAGAGAGACTGAGACCCAGAGAGACTGAGACCCAGAGAGACTGAGACCCAGAGAGACTGAGACCCAGAGAGACTGAGACCCAGAGAGAGACTGAGACCCAGAGAGACTGAGACCCAGAGAGACTGAGACCCAGAGAGACTGAGACCCAGAGAGACTGAGACCCAGAGAGACTGAGACCCAGAGAGACTGAGACCCAGAGAGACTGAGACCCAGAGAGACTGAGACCCAGAGAGACTGAGACCCAGAGAGAGAGCCAGACTGAGACCCAGAGAGACTGAGACCCAGAGAGACTGAGACCCAGAGAGACTGAGACCCAGAGAGACTGAGACCCAGAGAGACTGAGACCCAGAGAGACTGAGACCCAGAGAGACTGAGACCCAGAGAGACTGAGACCCAGAGAGACTGAGACCCAAGAGAGACCCAAGAGACTGAGACCCAGAGAGACTGAGACCCAGAGAGACTGAGACCCAGAGAGACTGAGACCCAGAGAGACTGAGACCCAGAGAGACTGAGACCCAGAGAGACTGAGACCCAGAGAGACTGAGACCCAGAGAGACTGAGACCCACTGAGAGAGAGACTGAGACCCAGAGAGACTGAGACCCAGAGAGACTGAGACCCAGAGAGACTGAGACCCAGAGAGAGAGACTGAGACCCAGAGAGACTGAGACCCAGAGAGACTGAGACCCAGAGAGACTGAGACCCAGAGAGACTGAGACCCAGAGAGACTGAGACCCAGAGAGACTGAGACCCAGAGAGACTGAGACCCAGAGAGACTGAGACCCAGAGAGACTGAGACCCAGAGAGACTGAGACCAGAGAGACTGAGACCAGAGAGACTGAGACCAGAGAGACTGGTGTAACCCGGCTCATGTTTACGTGACTGAACAGATTTGCACCCGGGACCTGGTGCTGCTCGCTCTGATTATGAGGTCCAGATATTTGCCGTGGGAGTTTTTGAACACCGTGGTTCTGTGCGTGTACATCCCTCATCAGCGGACGCTGCTGCAGCATGTGAGAGGATGTGAGAGGTTTGTTTATCTGGTTTGGTGAGGAGGAATCCAGCGCGTCATCTACTTACTGCAGCGGACACTCTCCCACCTGGAGCCCGCCGGGAGCGCTGTGAGGGTCATGTTTTTTGACTTCTCCAGTGCTTTAAACACCATCAGACCGGCACTGCTGCGGGGGAAGATGGAGGACAATCACCTCACAGCATGGACTATTGACTGCCTCTCGGACCGACCACAGTACGTGCTGCTGCGCAGCTGTGAGTATGAGGTGGTAGCCTGCAGCACTGGGGCCCCTCAGGGTACTGTCCTCTCACCGTTTCTCTTCACCATCTACACCTCAGACTTCACACACGACACACACAGCTGTCACCTGCAGAAGATCTCCGACGATTCCGCCATCGTTGGCTGTGTGTGTGAGGGGAACGAACTGGAATATCGGTCGGTTATCATGGACTTTGTCGACTGGTCTGAGCGCAACCACTTGTGCTTGAACACCAGTAAGACCAAGGAGATGGTCATCGACTTCAGGAGAAAACCACTTTCCCACACGCTGCTGAACATCCAGGGGGAAGATATTGAGCTGGCAGACAGCTTCAAGTACCTGGGTGTTCACATTAACAATAAACTGGACTGGTCCCATAACACCAACGCCCTGTACAAGGGCCAAAGTCGCCTCTTCCTTCTGAGGAGGCTGAGGTCCTTCGGAGTGAGCAGGCCTCTGCTCAGGACTTTTTATGACTCTGTGGTAGCCTCAGCCATTTACTACGCTGCCATGTGCTGATCCCCGGGCAGCACAGAGCGGGACAGGAGTAGACTGAACAAGCTGGTCAGGAGGGCCAGCTCCACTCTGGGCTGCTCCCTGGACTCTGTGGAGGAGGTGAGGGACAGGAGGGTGCTAGTCAAAGTCACCTCCATCATGGACAATACCTCCCACCCACTGCACAGGACTGTAGAGGAGCTGAGGAGCTCCTTCAGTGGAAGACTGAGACACCCTCAGTGCAAGAAGGAGCGCTACCGCAGGGCCTTTATCCCCACCGCTGTCAGACTGTACAATAAGTCACTTTAAGTCACTTGCATTAGGACTGAAAACCTGCACTACTATTGCCACTTTTTCTTTAATTTTTATTGTACATTATATACCCTGCACAGCACAGACTATCTTTTTTGCCTTTAACATGTTTGTGCAAAAGACAGAAGTGTGCAATCTTCCTGTGTGAGATCAATGAAGTCTATTTTATCTTAAGAGACTTATGAGAACATAGAGGAGTTTCTGTGTTTATCATTTGAGCATCAAACTCGAACAAAAGTCTGTTGTGCTTTAAACTGGTATGAATGTGTTTTGTGCAGAGAGTCGTGGGAGGCGTGTGCGCAGAGGGAGGCGCTGGAGGAGGCCGCGCTGCATCTGAAAAACCTCCAATTTGTGTTTGTGGTGAATTCTGTGAAACTCGAGGAAAACTATCATTACGTCACTGTGTTTGTGAGAGGAGAGCTGGACCACGACGAGTCCGAGGAGCCCAGGAACATGGAGCCCGACAAGAACGAGGGTAAAACTGATCGAGAAGTCATCAACAACAGGATCTGCACCTTTCAGTATCAGTATCATTTTATCTGTTATCAATCTCCTTGTCTACTATTTATCTGTGTGTTCAAAAGTAACTGAAGTAACTCATGGAAGTGTTGGGCAAGTTACTTTGAAAAAGTAAATAGTTACAAATTACTAGTTACCTCTAAAATAAAGTGACATTACTTCTGTTTGTAACGTATTGCAACACTGCTTGCCTTTGAGAAAGTAAATGTAATCACATTACTTTATTGCAGATGTAATCCCTTACTTTACTTGTTACTCAGGAAAAGTAATTGGATTAAACGCGTTACTGACCAACACAATCTCTGCTCTCTCTCTGCTCTCTCTCTGCTCTTTCTCTGCTCTTTCTCTGCTCTCTGCTCTCTCTCTGGTCTCTCTCTGGTCTCTCTCTGCTCTCTCTCTGCTCTCTCTCTGCTCTCTCTCTGCTCTCTTTCTGCTCTTTCTCTGCTCTTTCTCTGCTCTCTGCTCTCTCTCTGGTCTCTCTCTGGTCTCTCTCTGGTCTCTCTCTCTGCTCTCTCTCTCTGCTCTCTCTCTGCTCTCTCTCTCTGCTCTCTCTCTGCTCTCTCTCTCTGCTCTCTCTCTGTTCTCTCTCTGCTCTCTCTTTGCTCTCTCTTTGCTCTCTATTCATTACTTTTGCTAAATCCCTGTTTGTTTGTGTGTGTGTTGGCTTCAGGTTGGACTTGGACTCAGTGGGACGAGTTTCCTCCGGACGATCAGCTGTTTCTGCCTCTGAGAAACTTAAGGGCTCAAGGATTTAACCCTTTCAGCGACACACACCGCAGCTGAAGAGAGACGCTTGGTTTAATGAATGATGGTCCTGACGGCTTTGGATCCTCAATGACGACAAAGCAATTGAATTCATTTAAATGTATTCTTGTATTGCCACAAACCACAACAGTAGTTTAAAAAAACACAGAGGTATCGGCCCATATAAGGGGCAGATGGCTAATGTCCATAAATCATAGCAGTGATTTAAAAAAAGAGCACAAATCAAACCTTCAGGCAGGAACCCAAAAGTTAATCTCAACATAAAGTTGTGTGAGTAACATGGAGTGAAACGGACACATCTCTGTAAAACTTAGTTACAAGATCTAAAAGTTATTCATTTTGTTGAAAGTTAAATGTCGTTCGTGTGTACAGTACAGTGTTGGTGCTTTTTAGCCTCAATAAAAACAATTATTTTCTCTAATGAGTTATTTGTTGTGTCGAGAGTAAACTATTTTCAATCATTCCTTTCTGAGACAAACCACCTTCTAAAAGAAAATGGAATTGGATGAAAAGGACGAGGACAGAGTTGTTAAGAATTGTATTTACAGCTGTTGACTTCATAATCAAATGCAGTTTTCATGTGTTACGTGTTCACAGCGTTAGCTTCAAATCCTAAATCGGTAAATTATACATTTCAGTCAGTGTATCAACTGGGGCGGCAGTGGCTCAGGTGGTAGAGCATTGGCCTTTGAGCCTGGAGGTTGTGGGTTCATGAGACCTACTTCCAGCACAATTTCTGCGTCATTGTGTCCTTGGGCAAGACACTTGACCCAACTTTGCCAGAAGCCCCTGCTGAAAGCTTCTTAAACAGGATGAATCATTTTCACTGTACCAACGTTTCTAATTGTAAAACAGTGCCACATTTAAAAAATAGATAAATAACATGAAAACAGTTCTAACAGCTATAGTAGTAGTTGTAATACTGGGTTTGTTCAGCAGGTGTCAGCATTATGAGTAAATACTCTGTAATACCAGCGGTGACCTGCTCCAAACTCAGCGGAAGGAGCCCGTGACCACAGCCGCCTTTCATTCACCTCCGTCGGCCTGAACTTTGGACTTTCCCCGTGGGGATACATGCAGGTAAGAACCGTGAAACAGCCACAGTCATCCCGCGGCATGTGGGGGTGCTGTTCGGCTGTAGACTCCTGCTTCGACCCCGGCTCCAAGCGTCAAAACAACCCGAGGAACGTGTCCCAAACGCGGCGTAGTACCAGCGCTAAGGTCCGCTGTCACTATTAGCACAGAGACGGTCAGTCAGGCTGCGACCAACCCTGGATCTACGCTCACTTACAGCTTTAGAACTCAATATTTAACTCTAAAATATACATGTCATTTGCAGGGTGTATGTATGTATATTGATTCATCAGAAGACGTAGCGTTTTGTATTTGTATAATTTTAATCCGATACTGTAACACTGTCCGATAAAGGAACCACAAAACGGTAGCTTGCATGTATAGGCTTTTTACTCTTAATATTCTTATTTTGTCCCTCTAGTCTTTGATGATGAGCTCCAAAGAGGCTGTGCAGACTGCTGCCAAAGAGTTTCTCACGTTCGTCAACAAGGGAGCCTCGCCTTATCATGGTAACTATGTACAAAGGCAAAGTTTTATAAAACTAAATAATCTATCGCTATTAAAATGATTGTAGCACGTCATTCTGGTTTGTGTTCAGTACATATCTATGCGTTTTCATGTCATTATTTCAAATGTCGTTTGCTTTTAAAAGTGAATTTGACTTGTGCAGTTGTCTGTACGAATTGAGAGAGAGAGAGAGAGAGAAGATATATAGATCATGTGCACTGATGAGATGAAGACGGCATGTTGTGTGAACAAACACAATATATCTTTGTAATCACAAAAGAGCTTTAATGTGGCTCAGTGCTGAGATATGAGAAGCACTCGCTCAGCAGAATCTGTGACTTTGGTCTGAGATTAAAGTTTATTATCTGTTTCCGCACTTTGAAGTTTGCCCCTTGGAAAAATATGTGCGACGTCTCCAGGCCAAGATGGCTCTATCCTCTGCTCCTGGGGGTCTGTAGTTCAGGCCCAACCGTGAAGCGAGGGTATACAACAGGGCAGTTCACCAGTTATTTATGTATCGACCAGCGACCAGAGGGGGAGCGAGACCAGAGGGGGTGCGCGCGAGACCAGAGGTGGAGCGAGACCAGAGGGGGAGCGAGACCAGAGGGGGAGCGAGACCAGAGGGGGAGCGAGACCAGAGGGGGAGCGAGACCAGAGGGGGAGCGAGACCAGAGGGGGAGCGAGACCAGAGGGGGAGCGAGACCAGAGGGGGAGCGAGACCAGAGGTGGAGCGAGACCAGAGGTGGAGCGAGACCAGAGGTGGAGCGAGACCAGAGGTGGAGCGAGACCAGAGGTGGAGCGAGACCAGAGGTGGAGCGAGACCAGAGGGGGAGCGAGACCAGAGGGGGAGCGAGACCAGAGGGGGAGCGAGACCAGAGGGGGAGCGAGACCAGAGGGGGAGCGAGACCAGAGGGGGAGCGAGACCAGAGGGGGAGCGAGACCAGAGGGGGAGCGAGACCAGAGTATTTTAATCTGTTTTAAAGTTGAAATAAAAACCTTTTTTTTTCCACAGTTGTGGATGAGTGTAGGCGGAGGCTGCTCGATGCCGGATTCATTGAGCTCAAAGAGTCAGAGCCATGGACCATCAAACCCTCTGCCAAGGTCTGAGACACACACACTGGTCTCTGGTCGGTGTCTCTCTGGTCTCTCTCTCTCTCTGGTCTCTCTCTGGTCCCTCTCTCTCTCTCTCTCTCTCTCTCTCTGGTCTCTCTCTCTGGTCATTCTGTCTCTGGTCTCTCAGTATTTATAATGTCCCTTTCCTTTTGTCTCAGTATTTTGTGACGAGGAATTACTCGAGCCTGATCGCTTTTGCCGTCGGAGGAAAGTTTGTTCCTGGAAACGGCTTCTCGATGATCGGCGCTCACACAGACAGCCCCTGCCTTCGGGTGAGAGAAACCCCCTTCTTTGGGTTTTCTGTCTATTTCAATAATTCAATGTATATAAAAGGGTGAAAAGTGGTTACAATGTGTACTGCGTACCATGTGTACTGCGTACCATGTGTACTGCGTACCATGTGTACTACATACCATGTGTTACTTTATTTTTGTATTCAATTTAGTTTCTAATTTTTGCTGCGTTGTTTGATGTTGAATTGAAACAAAATACACTAAAGAAAAGTCTCAGAGGTTTCAGAATCTCAGATCTTGACAATGGGCCTCATTCACGAACGGTTCTTAGGAACAGATTTGTACGTAAATCCTACTTACGCGGTTTTTACGAAGAAAGTGGCATTCACGAATATTTCTCGTAACCAGAATTTCACTTGGGCAAGTACAAATCCTACGAGTCCTCAGGAGCACTCGTACGCATTCAGTGCCGACATGTTCACACGCCGGGGTTGTCCTCTTTGGTGAAGTTGAATAAAAATACAACATTCCAGTGATATGTCCGTCATATCGATGTATGTATTTATTTATTTGTAGTAATCTTTATTAGTAATCTTTATTTATATACCGCCTTTTTCACTGCAGATCTGGCCTACTTTTTAATTCATTTTGAAATGAAATGTGCCAACGCTTTATCAAATACATTGGAAATCTTGCCGTGTATTAGTGACCCCTTCCTATTTATAGGGGGCATTTCTTTATCCACGGGCCACAGAACAACGGCATATATACTGCTGCTGCAGGAGGTTACTGGGTCCGCGCTGAGTCTCTGCGCTGGTCTCTCCTATGGATCTACTGTATACGGGTCTGCACTGGTCTCTCCCATGGATCTATACGGGTCTGCGCTGGTGTCTCCCATGGATCTATACGGGTCTGCGCTGGTCTCTCCCATGGATCCATACGGGTCCGCGCTGGTCTCTCAAGTCTGGTCTATGCGGTCTCTCTTCGGTCCGCGCTGGTCTCTGCGCACCGGTCTCTCCAGTCAGGTGTCTCCAGTCTATGCGGTCTCTCCTGTCCGCGCTGGTTTCTGTGTGCTGGTCACTCCAGTCTCTCCTCGGGTCTGCATTGGTCTCAGCGCTGGTCCGCGCTGGATCTCCTCCCAGGGTCCAAAATATTTTGAGATTAATCTCAAAACATTTTGAGATTCATCTTTAAAATAATACATAATATATTTTTAAATTAAGCTCATAACATTTTGAGATTAATCTCATCATATTCTTAGATTAATCTCATAATTTTGCTAGTTCGACTTTATAATCATAATATTTCGACTTTTAAGTCAACATTTTATAACTTTATTCTCAGTCTGGCAAAAGCCTGCTTTAGGCCTGTTGCTGTTTCCTCTGGCGTCTGCACACGGCCCTGCAGTCCCTTATATGGGCATTAGTGGGCGGTTACCTATGCTAAGTACCTATGGTAATGAAGCACCGGGCACGCGCGCTGTACTTAAGAGGAAATGGGATTCATCAATCTGAGAGAACAGCTGCGAACAATTCAGCGGCTTACGAGTGCGTTGATGAATCCCACGTGGGGACTTCTTAGAAATCTACTTAAGGACAACTTGAGAAGAAAGTTGAGTAGTTTCTTACGAAGTTATTCGTGAATGAGGCCCATTGTCTCTGTAGCTGTGACAAAATCAGTTGTAGAGTTGTACAACTACTTTTAAACTTATGTGTAGGTATTATGTGTTATGATGATGATGATGAAGATGAGGATGGTGTGTGTTGCAGGTGAAGCCGCGCTCTCGCCGCCTGAAGCAGGGCTGTGTGCAGGTGGCGGTGGAATGTTACGGAGGAGGAATCTGGAACACATGGTTCGACCGAGACCTCACCATCGCTGGGAGAGTCATGGTCAAGGTCCGTGATTACACTGGGAAAGGGAGGGTGTGTTGAGACCGAGAGGGAAAGAGAGGGAAAGAGAGGGAGACGGAGGGAGACGGAGAGAGACGGAGAGAGACGGAGAGAGACGGAGAGGCCAGAGAGAGAAACTTAAAAAAAAAAAAAGGCAGCATGAACAGCCCAAACTCTGATGGTGAGAGCTTCACCAGAGCTTGGTTATGCAGAGTCCCAGGTGTGAGGTGTGTGAGAAACCCTCTTCCTCTGACCTGCTCACAGAGTGGAGGGCAGCTGCTGCAGCGTCTGGTCCATGTTCATCGTCCTCTGCTCCGCATCCCAAACCTGGCCATCCACCTGCAGAGGGACGTCAACGACTCGTTTGGGCCTAACAAGGAGAACCACCTGTATGTGTGTGTGTGTGTCTCTCTCTTTTTGACTGTCTGTGTGTGTCTCTCTTTCTGACTGTGTGTGTGTGCACGCGTGTGTGTCTCTTTCTGACTGTCTTTGTTGTACGTGTGTGTGTGTCTTACTGTCCTTGTGTGTGTGTCACTCTTACTGTCTTTGTGTGTGTGTTTGTGTGTGTGTCTCTGTCCCTGTGTGTCTGTGTGTGTCTGTGTGTGTCCCTATCTCTGTGTGTCTGTGTCTGTCTCTGTGTGTGTGTGTTTCTGTGTTTGTGTGCCTGCATTAAAGCTGTTTTTGTGCAGAGTCCCGATCTTGGCCACAGCGGTTCAGGAGGAGCTGGAGACGGGCTGCACTTCAACAGGAGACGCCTGCTCTGCCAACAACACGGTCAGAACTACAACAATCTCTGAACCTGGTCTCCCTCTCTGGTCTCCCTCTCTGGTGTCCCCCTCTGGTGTCCCCCTCTGGTGTCCCTCTCTGGTGTCCCTCTCTGGTGTCCCTCTCTGGTGTCCCTCTCTGGTGTCCCTCTCTGGTGTCCCTCTCTGGTGTCCCTCTCTGGTGTCCCTCTCTGGTGTCCCTCTCTGGTGTCCCTCTCTGGTGTCGCTCTCTGGTGTCGCTCTCTGGTGTCGCTCTCTGGTGTCGCTCTCTGGTGTCCCCCTCTGGTGTCGCTCTCTGGTGTCGCTCTCTGGTGTCCCTCTCTGGTGTCCCCCTCTGGTGTCCCTCTCTGGTTTAAACATGGTTCTATTCTCAGGCAGAGAAGCACTCCCGAATTCTGGTCGACGTTCTCTGCTCTGAACTTTCTGTGCAATCAGAAGAACTGATGGACTTTGAGCTGTGCCTCGCTGACACACAGGATGCAGTGAGTTCTGCTTTAGTTCTGCTTTAGTCTTGCTCTAGTCTTGCTCTAGTCCTGCTCTAGTCCTGCTCGAGTCCTGTTCGAGTCCTGTTCGAGTCCTGTTCGAGTCCTGTTCGAGTCCTGTTCGAGTCCTGTTCGAGTCCTGTTCGAGTCCTGCTCGAGTCCTGCTCGAGTCCTGCTCGAGTCCTGCTCGAGTCCTGCTCGAGTCCTGCTCGAGTCCTGCTCGAGTCCTGCTCGAGTCCTGCTTTAGACCTGCTTTAGACTGCTGTTAGTTCATACAGTACAGACCAAAAGTTTGGACACACTTTCTCATTAAATGAGTTTCCTTTCTCTTCATGACTATTGACTGTAGATTCACACCAGGCTGTGTAAGGGCTGTTTGACCAGTAAGGAGAGTGATGGGTACTGGGCCAGATGACCTGGCCTCCACAGTCCCCGCACCTGAACCCAATCCAAATAGTTTTGGGGTGAGCTGGACCACAGAGTGAAGGCGAAAGGGCCAAAAAGTGCTAAGCATCTCTGGTAATTCCTTCAAGACTGTTGAAGACCATTTCAGGTCACTGCTTCTTGAAGAACCTAGAATATAAGACATATTATCAGTTGTTTCATACTATTTTTTTTGTACGTACATAATTCCACATGTGTTAATTCATCGTTTTGATGCCTTCAATGTGAATCTACAATTTTCATAATTATGAAAATAAAAAACTCTTTGAATGAGAAGGTGTGTCCAAACTTTTGGTCTGTACTGAACGTTTTGAATCTAAACTCTCTTTCAGGCTCTGGGAGGAGTCTATGGAGAGTTCATCTTCTCTCCTCGTCTGGACAACCTGCACAGCTGCTACTGCGCCCTGCAGGTCAGCTTCAGTGTGTGTGTGAGCGTGTGTGTGTGTGTGTGTGTGCTGTTGTCCTCATGCTTCAGTCTTTGTCCTCCAGGCTCTGCTGGACTCCTGCTCCGGAGACTCTCTGACCAAAGACCCCAACGTCCGGATGATCACGTTGTACGACAACGAAGAGGTGAGTGACAGAGAAACTGCCCCATAAAGCCTTTCTCTATGAAGTAGAGGTGGGAATTGGAAAAATAATGACCCTTATATTATTCAAAGACATCACAAATATGAAGGAAAATAAGACTCAACTCAAACAAGACATTTCTTATGGGCTGCACAGAAACTGGGCTGCAAATGAAAGATTTGACTCCTAGCTTCAATCTGCAAATGGTTTGTTTTACCTTTCACTGTTCTTGACCAATCTGTTTATTTACATGCATGTACGTTTATTTACATGCATGCAAATAAAGCAGGACTAAAGCAGGTCTACAACAGGACTAAAGCTAGTTGTTGTCTGCAGGAATATGGGTATCCATCTAAGTGGGAAATAAAATCTATATCTGGTACAGACTCTCCTCTCCTGGTTCCATTCCTACCTTTCTGACCGCAACCAGTTCATCCAACTTAGATCCTTTTCCTCTCATACCCTCACACCACTGCCATACTCATACACAGCCTTGTCACCGCCCGCCTCGACTATTGTAACTCCCTCCTGTTCGGTCTCCCTAAAAAAAAAAACCCATAAACTCCAACTGGTCCAAAACACAGCCGGCCGTCTCATCACAGACACCCCCTCCATCAACCACATCACCCCTGTCCTTCAACAGCTCCACTGGCTCCCCATCACTCACCGCATCAATACAAAATCCTGCTCCTCACATACAAAGCTCCTCCAAACCTGACTGACCTCCTCCAGATCTCCACACCTGCCCGCTCCCTCCGCTCCTCCTCCTCTCTCCAGCTCCTGGTCCCTCCTGCCCGCCTCGTCACCATGGGGAGTAGAGCCTTCAGCCGCTCTGCTCCCCAGCACTGGAACACTCTTCCCCCTAACCTCCTCAACACCAACTTACTCACATTCTTCAAATCCACCGTCACAACTCATCTGTTTAGACAAGCCTACTCACTAACACTACTATCTAAACATCATAACCCCACACTCCTCTGTCCAGGATGCTTTTAACTTTGTATTTTAACTGTTTTCAAAATGCACGTTTTTACTTGTATGTAAGGCAACCTTGAGTGTCGAGAAAAGCGCCTAAGAAATAAAATGTATTTTTATTATCTGCTCTCTCTGGTCCTTCTCACTGGTCTCTTTCTGGTCTCTTTCTAGTGTCCTTTCTAGTCTCTCTGCTCTCTCTCTGGTAAGTAAGTAATCTTTATTTATATACTGTACCGCCTTTCACAGACCAGAGACACAAAGCGGTGGGCATTGGTCTCCCACTCCACACAGGGAGCCAGTACAGGAGGCGCATGCCAGACCTATTGTACATGTTTTTAGTGGTAGGGGAAACCGGAGCACCCGGAGGAAACCTACGCAGACACGGGGAGAACATACAAACTCCACTTAGAAAGGATTTGAACCAGGTCTGCTGGATAGCACTCAGCAGACCTGAGTGCTACCCACCCAGGTCTGTTTGCTAACTCCCTCGTTATGACTCATGCTGGTCTGTTGTGTTGCAGGTGGGCTCGGAGAGTGCTCAGGGCGCTCAGTCCAACCTGACGGAGCTAATTCTCTCCAGAGTCTCCTCGTCGTCCAAAAACATCACCGCGTTTCAACAGGCGGCTCCTCTGTCCTTCATGATCTCTGCCGACATGGCCCACGCCTGCCACCCCAACTATGCGTGAGTGAGCCCTAACCAGGCCCTAACCAGGCCCTGACCAGGCCCTGACCAGGCCCTGACCAGGCCCTAACCAGGCCCTAACCAGGCCCTGAACCAGGCCCTAACCAGGTCCTAACCAGGCTTGTTTAATTCCTTCAGAGAGAAGCACGAGGAGAACCACAGACCTGCTTTCCACAAGGTGAGTGTGGTGGAAATGCACCCAGCTTCACTTGGTCTCTGTCTTTCTGGTCTCTCTCTGGTCGCTGTCTGGTCTCTCTTTCTCTCTTTCTCTCTCTGGTCTCTCTCTCTGTTCTCTCTCATTCTGGTCATCTCTGGTTCATCTTCACTCTGTGTGAATACTCATTCAGGGGCCAGTGATAAAGTTCAACAGTAACCAGCGCTACGCCACCACCGCTGTGACCGCTGCTGTCATGAGGGAAGTGGCCCGACGAGTGGAAGTCCCGCTGCAGGTGAGACTTCAGTGTTTGGCTTCAACTCTGGCTCTAACTGACTTAAAGTAAACTCCTGTAGCTCCGTAACCGTTTGTGTCACACTGTGCTTTGCGCTCTCCATGGTCCTGGTGTTTATGTGATATAGTCTTTGTAAATCAATTGCCTTCATTCATGGGGGGAATCTCCAGTTTGCCTTTGCTACCATTTTAGCAATCTACAGCCGTGGCCCAAATGCCCATGATTAAAGCGGCTTCTTCTGCATTTAGGCTAACACCCTGGTGATGTCACACACTACGGCTGTTAAATGAGCTGTAAATCTTATTTCTCCATGAGCCCGTTCTGGTCTCAAGCTCTTGGGTCTGATCTGATCTTGTCTCCAGGACGTGATGGTGCGTAACGACAGCCCGTGTGGCACCACCATTGGCCCCATCCTGGCGGCTCGTCTGGGGGTCTCTGTGGTGGATATCGGGGCCCCTCAGCTCTCCATGCACTCCATCAGAGAGATGTGCTGCAGCTCCAGTGTGCTGCAGAGCACCACACTGTTCAGGGTGAGTGTGGCCCCTAAAGGCCTCCTGAGGGCCTCTGCTCTGCTGTGAACATGTTCATTAACATATGGTCTGTTCTCAGGGCTTCTTCGAACACTTCCCGTCCGTGCGGAGTTCTCTGGTTGTGGATTAAACCTGGAGCAAAACAGAAGAAAAGACTAGAATCAAACAGTTTCCACCTGTTTAAGTTTCGCTGAAGGACGACTGTTTGAAAGGTGGTTGTTAATAACAATAAACAGAGAATTTTCTGTCGGTGTACTTTACTATAAACATAAATCTCCTGACTCATCCTCATCTCATCTTAATTCATTCAGAAATAATAATATTGTCAAACACATTCTATAATCTCCTCCAATGTAAAGTCAAAGAAAGGTGGCACAAATGGTTTTGAAGCAAAGGGCATAAGGTACAACCAGGAAGTAATTTTAAACTTTGAAAGCCAAAAAAAACAGAATGTACCATAATAACAAGTCTTCATCCAATATGTCATTGAAAAGATTTTTTCATCTATGATTAAAATAGCAATATGTAAGATTGTCAAGTTATCATTAAATGGCCCTAATATGTCAAAAGGCATTAGTAAACCATGCTCTTTTCGAATGCTTCTTTAACTGATGACAGTATAGTTCAGCCGAGATATTGGAATTTCAAAATTAGTTTTACAGTGCTTAAATGTTAATGTTTTCATTTCGATGACCCGCCCTCCATCGAGCCAATCTTACTGGTAAAGAAACATGTGGCTGCAGAGCTGAAAAAGGTCTTCTCAAATCATTAATGACAAAACAAGGAATAAAACAATGATTTCTATCGAGGCCTTTGTGAAAAAGGTGTTGGTTATAAATTTGTTGTTGACAAAACTCTTGTCTATTCAGATATTATGGTACCATTTGGATTGCATATCTGGCCACCTGTCAGGGAGAGTGGGAGAGGTCGCAGTCCCACTTTTTGCCAGATTTGTACATACTGCTCCTTTTAATTCTAATAGTTTTGAGGCACTTTCGATTTTCGAAACTATTATACTTACATTGCTGACTTTGTAGTGTCTGCCTTTACAGTTTACTGAGCTCAGACATTTTTTGAGGGACAAAAAAAGGTCAGTGTACTTGTGGGTATTTGGATTTTCTTCACTGAAATGAAAATAATAATTAGAAAAACAAGTCGTGTTTCTATTTTCGTTTGCAAATCAAAAAACCAAAAATGAAAAAACAGCCATTTTTCTTTTTATATCCAAGTGAATGAAATTTAATTTTTCAAAATAAAGCTGATTTTCATGTTTGCATTGTATACTGAATAAACAAAAACAAATTAAGACAAAAACGAAAAACGACCCAATATTCGTTTTATGAAACCGGAAGTTGTCATATTCAAGCGCAAAGAGCGCCAAAATTGTGTTGTTTACACTAATAGATCCATGTGTTTACATCTTGAGCTCAACGGAGCAGTATGATGGCATTGGACCCGTACTATGATAGTCTGAGAAAGTTAAATTTTATGCAGTTGCTGACTTTTGGGGTTATTAAACGTTAACTAGTTCAGGAGACGTGCAGATCATCAACACCAAGCTTTGTGTGACCGTTGTAAAAACTTGCTTCAAACTGCTTTTGTTCATAACTATTATTGATGTTTAAATAAAGTTTTTATACATGTCCTTGTCCAAACATAATCTTTCAAACCATACTCACGCATATAGCTAAATCTCCAAAAGTGGCAATGTGAGCGCAAGCAGCTGTGGTATGCGTCCTACGGATCCAAGTATGCCGTTTGGCACATTTAGGGAATTCCTTTGGATTATGGCAGGCAAACGCCATGGTGTAGGTTAGCTAGTGTGTCTGGGGTAACGGTAATACGTTCTTATACCAAGATTGGCAATCCCTTCGCTGTGATGCGTAGGTGTTATGGGGGTGCGTAAATTTATCCCAACGGCTCATAATTTTCTGCGGCCAATCAAGGGGACCAACAAACTTCCATCTCAAATTAGCAATGGTCTAATTACGAACTGGGCAGGAACAGGAGAAGGCACGAAAAATGATGCTTAGGATAGATCTCAATGGTATCTCATTATTTTATCCACAACTACTGTCTCTCATCCTAACTTCAGTAGATAAGTCTCTTGACTAAAAATAAACCATCAATACTGTTAACCAGTGATCAACATCTTTAGCTCAGCACCCACCCATTCAAAAGCACCCTTTGACTCGGAGCTCCATGCGCTCTGCTGCGCGCCTGGTAACTTTTACGCACGGCCTTTTTCTGAGCGGTTTTGGGGCACATGCACACGGCACGTCCTGGGCACAGTGGCGGTGGCTCCAGACAATTTTGATTCGGGGGGCAATGGGGGGTCCAGGTCATTTCAAGGGGGGTCTCATGGAAATCAACAGAAAATACAGTGGACACGGCTGATACCTGCATATTACTGCTACTAAACAACAAAAACAACACAGCATATCAACGACTTTGTTTTTAATTAATTTATCAATTGCAGTTTGCAAACAATACCGTATCACATGAACTACTACACCACTGGGTGGGGATGTCAAATTAGGGGGCCAAGGCGTTTTTTTGGAGGCTCTTGAGAGGTTATACAGTGTAAAGGCGTCTCTGGTGCCCGCCCCGACACGTGTTGCTGCACAGGCAGTACTCATTGAAGCTGTACTCCTTACTATTTTATTGTGTGGGGAAAAAAGTGTGTTTTTGTGTAAACTGTTTATTTTGTATCTTGCTGTATTATTTATTCAATGTAAAAATAAAATCTATAAAAATAATAAAAACAAATACCGTAAACAAATGCCTTCTACGCATGGATCTCATAGACTGTAAAAATAAGATGGATCAACTATAATATCTTCTACGATTTATATTTTGATGATATTTGCGCTTGAATATGACAACTTCCGGTTTCATAAAACGAATATTGTGTCGTTTTTCGTTTTTTTCTTAATTTGTTTTTGTTTATTCAGTATACAATGCAAACATGAAAATCAGCTTTATTTTGAAAAATTAAATTTCATTCACTTGGATATAAAAAGAAAAATGGCTGTTTTTTCATTTTTGGTTTTTTGATTTGCAAACGAAAATAGAAAAACGACTTGTTTTTCTATTTATTATTTTCATTTCAGTGAAGAAAATCCAAATACCCACAAGTACACTGACCAAAAAAATATTGTATGTATATATGTACTGTATATCGAAACGAAAAGCCAACTTGGAATAAAATAAAAATGTCTTCAATGTTATTTTTTAAATAATTAATTCAATATATCTACAGTTCTGAAAGAGGCGTATCCCTCATCGCCCACCCTTCACTTCGTCTTAACCAGAGACTGTATATCTTAACGTGAGAGAAGTGAATGTATTTAATGTTTAATAACGGTGGAGTTGTCGCCTGCTCCCCGAGGTACGTCACCGTTTATCATTTTGACGGTGTTAATTTGTTTTAAAAGAGTAAATCAACGGCGTAAGTTAGCGTGCTAGCCTGGTCGTTGTAGGCACTACCGTTACCATGGTGATGGGGACAAATAGCCGCAGGGCACGTGAGCCGTGAGAGCTAACCATAGACTGTGTGAGCTAACGTCTCCTGAGCTGGAATGCTAACGTCATATTGAAGAAGTCCAAATATTATATTCTGCTGTGGTGAATAAAAGATGAGAAACTGTCTCCTGCCCGGAAGCGAACACAAAGAAGATCAAAGGTGGGTTCAATCTTTCTACATTCTGTAAATATGTGTTTAACTCGTGCTGAGATAAGTTGTTAAAAGTTATTAAAGCTGGGTCATGTAGGAATACGAATATATATGAAAAATCTGTTTTAATGCTGTTAAGGAGCCACAAAACATGAATGTGAAAACTAGTAATGTTTCAAAGACTTCAATTTTTACCATGAACTATAAATATAATCACCAGCCGTCTCAAAACAGGTAGTGTTAGTGGAGCTTTTAACTTTGTATTTGTTTTTTTTGTTTTGTTTTTTTTGCACTGATGAAAGACTGCATTGGGTGTCAAAAAAGCAGCCTTTTGACACCTAATGAAAAAAGAAATTGTTATTATTATTATTAAAACTACGTATAACTACTAATCAGTAGTTATACTTAGTTTTAATAATAATAATAATAATAATAATTTTTTTTTGCTTTTTGGTCAGATTGATTGGTTAGTGCTCTGGGCCCGAATCCTGATGGAACAGGGTCTTTCTGAGTGGAGCTTGCATGTTCTCCCTGTGTCTGCGTCAGTTCACTGTTTGCTGCAGTTTCCCCGACCACTAATTTCTATTTTTTTATTCAACTGTTGTTTAACCAGGAGAACCTCATTGAGCTTAAAAATTAATATCCTTTTCCAGAGTGTCCTAAAATATGTACATTAAACTAAATCGTCCAGCTTTGGTCCTGACGAAGAGCATCTACATTTGTGTTTGGAACTGACTTTTATCTTGTTTTTCTTTGTATGTGTTTAATTGTGAAGCGCTTTATGATCCTGGTCTGTGAAAGGTGCTATACAAATAAACGTACTTTTCCCTGTGCTATGGAGACCACTGCTCCTGAGAGGAATCTGTCAAATGCAGAGGACACACTTAAACAGGGGGACAGTCATGGATCTATAGTGATCTGAAAAGATGGATGTGTTTATGTCAATGCAATAAAATAAATATTAGATTATGTACAAATCCCCTTTTTGTTCCTCTGCATTTTAAACTTTCTACCTGTGTTTATCATTGTAAATATTTGTTACAAAAATAGAAAAGATGCATTGCACAAAAAAGCATACTCATCAGTGTTCATTATGGTCTGTTACATTTGACTGTATAGTGTGGGAACTGCACTTGGATAATAATTGTTCTTAAATCCATTGGTCTGTGCCGGCTGCTGAAAGGAAGCTACTGAGGTGTAAGTTGTTCTGCAAAACTATATAAATGTGCTTATTTTAAATGGACTTACATTATTTTGTAAAAATCTGTAATTTTCCAGTCTGGTTTTGTTACACATGTAATTCTCAATCATTTCAAAATTTATATTTCAATAGCAACACAATCCACTATTAATTTAGTGTTTATTTTACTGGTTTTCCTTAGCCTGGCTAACGCCAGACTGCTGTGTGCGCTCGAATCCTTTCGAACTTCACAACATATTTCGTCTGGCGTTAGCCAGGCTAGGTTTTCCTTGCAATGCAACACAATCGAGCGACAATTTTTTTTTTTTAAGTAAAGAATTCTTCTCTGTGTTTTAATTTGGGAATAAATATATCAAAAATATGGACACTTGAACAAACACAAGATTTACATACATGATGAATTTAGTCTTCAAAACAAAATGGGCCTTGATAATTTGCCAAAACACAAACGAACACTGAACACTCTGGAGGCAGATTCCCTTTAGCTGGAGCAATAACATTATTCCAGGGGAAAAGAGACGAAATTTCAAACATTATGAGAAAACTAACTATCTTTCTGCCCATGGAAAACTTGACTCAGTCTGTAGGTGGCGCTAATGCTGCTAGTTCATGATTTACACTTTCAGTTTAACCAAACCCAAGAGTTGAACAATCAATTCAAATTTTGTGCAAATCAGACTTCGTATGTGTATACAAAGGGCATTTACGTGTGGCAAAATTTGGTGAGTTTTTGTGTTTGTTAAGTGGGTCAAATATGAATCAAACAACAGAAAACCTAAATACCTGTATCCCCATGTAAACCTTTACTCAGTCTGTAGGGGGCGCTAATGGGCCAATGTAATCTTTCACACTTTCAGGCAATGTAGGCCCAGGAAATCAAGAATCGAGTCAAGTTTAATGCAAATCAGACTTTGTAAATGTGTTCCTGTTTTCACATACAATCTGTGAGTGTGTCCATACAGTGTCCATTGGATCGCATGGGAACTTCACACCTCTCTATGAAAATAACTACAACTTGGGAATCTGTCACGCGCAGACCGTTTGACTAATTCAAATTCTACGATGAGCTATTGATGATACATGTGTTGAGAGGGTGTGGAGCGATTTTCAGCCAAATTAGTGAAACGGCCCCGGCTGGTTTGATGTTTGAGCGAGGTGTACATTTCAGAGATTTAACGATTTTGCCATAGACACAGAATGGGGAGCGTTTGTTGTCGCCACGGCAACAGGGTAAAAAATAAGTCTCGGTTGTCATTGACTTTTTGAATCAAGAGGGCAAAACAGAATTATGTGTGGAATTGAAACATTTTGAAAAATCTAAATTTGATTCACCCCATGTAAAACTTTGATATAGTCTGTAGGGGGCGCTAGTGAGCCTATTTCAATATTTCCACTTTCAAATGATCTAGACCCTGGAGTGGAACAATGGATTAAAATTTTGTGCAAACGGAAGCAAATTTGCTTTTGTCAAAAATTAAAAACAAAAAAGTCACATTTTGCCGCTCCGCTGCTCAAACAACGTTTAACTGATCCAAATTCTATGATGAACTATTAATAGTAAATGTGTTGAGATGATGGGGAGCGATTTTGAGGTGAATCGGTGAAACGGCCGAGGAGGAGTTGCTTTCCAAACGACATGTATGAAAATGATTGCTGTTCATTTTTCCATTTTGCAGTGAAATTTATGGGCTTCCTGTTTGTCAGAGGGCGGGGCCATAATAAAAAATTTTTATGTCTTGACTTGAGGAACATGTGTACCGAATTTCATGGCTCTACAACAAACTTGACTTCCGACAACTCCCATAGGCGTATTAAATTGGCTGTTGTAGGTGGCGCTGTTCTGGCATCTTCTTTGCCCCATAAAAATAAACACAGAAACATCAAAAAATGTTGGGGCAAAATGTGGCAAGTTTTCTCAAAGTGCAGAAGAAAAAAGAAAGAAATAAACCAAGGAATTTTTTCGAAAGTCTCCGAGCAAAAACAACATAGGTTTCAATTGCACATGATACATCATTTTAAAGCGTTTGAGTTTACGCACGCAACCGTCACATTATGGTGAGTGAAGCTGCCACCTCTTGCATTCACCATTGTGAAAGCAATAGGCCCTTACCCCGTTTGGGGCTCGGGCCTAATAAATAACTAAATAAATAAATAAAGATTTTTTTCCCAAAAATTTCGGGCAAAAACAATATAGGTTTCCATTGTAACCTATAATACAAATGATACACCGTTTTAAAGCGAACGAGCGGACGAACGCAACCATTGGGTTCTCAGTGATTGACGAGCGCGTCAATCACCTCACCATCATGAGGTTACCATTCCGTGCATCTGGCACGGATTTATCACTGTTTGGGCACGTGCCGTCGCGTGCAGGCACCGGGCGCGTGACTTATGACAGTTACAACAACGAGTAACTGTCCCAAGGCGAAGTCCAGGCATTACTCGTTGGGAAAGCAATAGGCCCTTACCCCAGTTGGGACTCGGGCCTAATAATAATACATCATACTTACAGTACATAGCGCTTTTTTGTACTCTTAAAGACGCTTTACAGAAGAAAATATAAAAAGCTAAAAATAAACAGTTAAGTGTTGGCAGTTTTGAACAGGTGGGTTTTGAGAAGTGATTTGAAGTTTTGTAGTGAGTCAGAGTTCCTAATGTGTGGTGGGAGTGAGTTCCAGAGAGTGGGGGCAGCTGGCAGCAAAGGCTCGGTCCCACAACGTTTGGCACTTGGTTCTGATGGGAGTGAGGAGGTTGGAGTCAGTGGATCTGAGGCGGCGGGAGGGACAGTGATGATGGAGGAGGTCAGTGAGGTAAGAAGGGGCGAGGTTATGGAGGGACTTGTAGGTGAGAAGGAGGCCCTTGTATTTTATGCGGTAAGGAACAGGGAGCCAGTGGAGTTGTTTGAGGACAGGGATGATGTGGTCTCTAAAGCCGGTGTGGGTGAGCAGGTGGGCGGATGTATTGCAGTTTTTGGAGATGAGTGGAAGGGAGTTCGTAAAGGAGGCTGTTGCAGTAATTGAGTCTTGAGGTGATGAAGTCGTGGATGAGGATTATTGCAGTGGATTGTTTGAGGAAGGGGTGGAGGGCAATGTTGCGAAAGTAGATAAGATAGACCTTTTTTGTCCCACAGTGGGGAAATTTCAATGTCATCTCAAAATTGCGTCCATTACAGCAGAATGTAAGCAAGGAGGAAAGAAAGGTAAAGTGAATCCAAAGTCTTCTTTAGATCACTGTGTAATAAACGAGACGAGAACACAGACTGCTGCTCATTACTCATTCAGTTGATTTGTTTTTGCAGGTGTGAGATGTGGACATGATCCGGAGACGAAAGAAGACTCCAGAGAGGACCGTTCCCCACACCAGGCTCCAGAGCGACGCAGAGCTCACGGTGAGAGAGAAGTGTGTTCATCTGACAGACTGACAGTGTACATGCGTGTGTTGCAGCAGAGACACCGGACACGGCCACTCATATAATTACACCTGAAACACAAAGGGACAGAGGAATGGTGTTTCCGTTTGTGTCTAGGAGCTGAGGCTTCGGTTTCACTCAGAGATCCACTCTGGAAGTTTTTCTCTTTTTGACTCATGTTTAAATTAAAGCTCGGGTAACTCACTTTTGATAAAGAACACACATGTAGTTTCTCCATCAGAAAGAGTTTTGTAAAACTAAAATGTTGTGAACAAATCAGACACAACATGCTGTCTTCATCTCATTAGAATACATGTTTTGTGTAAGAAAGAGTCCTGTGAGTCACTATTTGACTCTTCAGGGAGAGAGTTGAGGCCGACAATACATGAAACTAGTGATAAAAGCATACAGTTTTGGTTTGAAAGTTACACACCCCAGCTTTAATCAAATCATTTTAAAATTAAATTATATTTATTTTTGAATAAGATTGGACTAATGTAATTCCTTGAACTTCCTTTTGCCACTGGCTACAGCCAAACCCTAAAACCCAAAGGGTCCTCCCCAGGTTTCAAACACATTCTGTTTATCTCCAAATTAAGCGTTTCTTTTTCTGAACAAACAATTCTATTTTAAAGGTGATGTCTGTTGTTTTAAAATAATGCATGTTTTGTCCAGCATTCCATGTACTGTGTAAAGTAAGAATAATTAATCATGTTAAAAGTCTCCTTGGCAAGATCTGCTGGAGGAGAATAGTCGGAGCAATGTGGAGAGGGCTCACTGATCAATAAAGAAGCAGAGAGCGGAGTCTTAATGCTGCTTGCATCTAAAACCCATTTGAGAATGGTGATGACGAGTCAGAGCTTTTCTCCCGATGATTTCCTGAGGCCATATTTGGACATTTGGACAAGCCAGTGTCTGCAGCTCTTCCTATAGAGGACATTCTGAAGGATCGTCTGGAGGAACATCAGGAGGAACTTCTGGAGAATTTCTGACTGGGCTAGGTTCTTCTGCAGAGGCTGTACCGCTTTGAGAGTAAACTGGGAGAGGGGACGTACGGCGTGGTCTACAGAGCCACACAGTTGCAGACACAGACTCTCTGGGCCCTGAAGGAGATCCACAAACCAGAGGCAAGTCCCAGATCCACCGACCAAAACTCAACACTGTTAGAGACCCTTTATAAGTGTGTGTGTGTTTGTCTGTGTCTTTGTGTGTCTGTGTGTGTGTTTGTTTGTATGTATGTGCAGCCTGGACACTCGCGCTGGAATCTTCTGGACAATGAGATCCAGATCCTGCAGAAAGTGGACCATCCGAACATCGTGCTCCTGTCAGAGGTCCTGCACACGGCTCAGGTGTGAATTCTCTGACGGTTTTTGACTTTTTCTTCGTCTGTTTTTCAAAAACACAATTGTAAATTGTCAGTCCAGATGAGTTTCTTCTGCTGACTGGTGAGGAGCTACCTCAAACAGGAAAAAAAGCAGTAAAGAAGAATGTTTATTTATATAGCACATGCAATAGGGACATGTTCAGAAGATGTCTCTCTGCTCTTTCTCTGGTCTCTCTCTCCGTTCTCTCTCTGGTCTTTCTTTCTCTGGTCTCTCTCTCTCTGGTCTTTCACTCTCTCTCTCTGGTCTTTCTCTGGTCTCTCTCTGATCTCTCTCTGGTCTCTCTCTGGTCTCTCTCTGGTCCCTCTATGGTCCCTCTCTGGTCTCTGGGCTCTCTCTGGTCCCTCTCTGGTTTTTATCTGGTCTCTCTCTGGTCTCTTTCTGGTCTCTCTGGTCTCTCTGGTCCCTCTCTGGTCTCTCTCTGGTCTCTCTGGTCTCACTCTGGTCTCTCTCTCTGTTGTCTTTCAGAAGATGTACCTGGTTCTGGAGCTATGTTCTGGAGGAGACCTGAAGCAGCTGCTGCAGATGAGAATATTTCTGACCGAACACGAGACCAGAGCCATCGTGCAGGCACTGGCCGACGTCCTGCTCTACCTGCACCGCAGAGGTCAGAGGGCAGGGGTCAGAGCAGAAAGAGCAACCAGAGAGAGAAAAAAGATAGAGAGAGACCAGAAAGATAAACAAAAGAGAGCAATCAGTGAGACGGCGCATAGAGACCAGAGAGAGGTCAGGGGTTAAAAAAGCCTTGAACTAGAAAACATTGGTATTGGGGCGTGTTCATTTGACGACACAGCAGTTGAAAAATCTGGAGATAATTTCTTTGTAATTCCTGTAATAATAATCCATATGAAACAAAATTGGCGAGAGTAGCTCAGTTGGTAGAGCACTGGCCTGTAGGCCTGAAGGTTGTGGGTTCGAGCCCACCATAACACCTACTTCACGACTCCCACTGATGACTGCTGTCGTTGTGTCCTTGGGCAAGACACTTAACCCCACTTTGCCTGAAGCCCCCGCTGAAAGATCTCAGCTCCTGTGGACTCACCACCTGCAGGAGGACCAGTGAGGGGCTGGTGCTCTGTGAACTGGGTGCAGCTCTGACTGCCACCCCCCCAACCCAGAAATGGATTAAGGGGAAGAAAATGGATGGATGGATGGATGAAACAAAATTGTCAGTTCCACATCTACTTTGTCAGCACATATCAACTATGGTCTCATTATTTTCTCTCTCTGGTCTCTCTCTGGTCCCTCTCTCTACAGTCTCTCTCTGGTCTTCAGACATCAGAACAACATGGCGATTTTGTGAATCTAATATCTATTGTATTAGGATCTGTTGATTCCCATTGAGTTGTTTTGGCTCTTGTTGAAATACTGACATTTCGGAATACAACTCCACAATGAGCACAACCTTCTACTGATCAGATTTTAAGTTACAAACCCCAGCTTTAATTATACCTGTCACTATTATGCCTCATGAACCATCAACCCTGTATGTCTAATCTGTGTTGACCTGTTGGAGCCGTGTGCAGAGTCACACGTCGTTAGGGAAACAGGACCCGGGGTAGGCCCAGTCCTGGTCTCATGTGGACTTTAGGAGGGCTCACAAACACAGTTACTACAGCAGCACATACTCAAACAACATGGGCCATTATACCACAAACGTGTTGGAACAAGTGGGAGACTTATGTCAGATGGATTATGGATACTCAGACAGAACAGTGGAAAGGAAATGACCACCCTCACTCAGCCAATCAGCTCTCAGCCCAAAGGGTCAGTCACAGGGCTCCCAGCTTTAACTGTTTCAAACACACTGCACCATGTCAGATGCTTCAATATAAAAGCAGTCTTACACATTTATCCACTTCTAACTTATCATTGGTAAATCTTTCTATTCATCACCGTACATGTGTGACAGGAAGAGCAGGCTCTCTTCTATCTGAATAGGCAAGACAAGTTTTTTTGTTTAGCACAGTTCATACACAAGCCAGCTCAAAGTGCTGAACAAAACAATATAGAAACAATCACACAAGTCATTAGAATAGTCGATAATAACAGTACATCCCTCAGTTGTATGCACAGATAAACAGAACTGTTTTTAACCTGGATTTAAACATTATCAGAGAAGATGTCTGTCTCACATTTTCAGGTAGAATGGTCTGGATTTCTGCATGAATCTGAAATGCTGAATATATTACATTTAAATTTATATTTATAAGCAGAGGGACGGGTATTCTCCCTGAGGCTCCTGTATGCAAAACACACACGCACACACACACAGTTCTACATATTTTTCTGAAAGCAGCGTTTTTCTTGCCCTCAGATATCGCTCACAGAGATCTGAAACTGGAGAACATCCTGCTGAAGAACCCTGTGGAGGACGACCGCTCTCCCATTGTCATCAAGGTCTGACCCTAACCCTGGGGCCTTATGCCTACAGTAACCCTTCTGCTGTTTTCAAAGACGCCTCATAACTTTGCGTCAGCAACGGGACAGTGAAACAGTGCCAGTAACATGTCTCTCATACATACTCTGCGACACACTGTTGTCAAATTGAATTGCACAACATAGAGAGATTAGAGAGAGAGAGAAAAACCAGAGAGAGATCAGAGAGAGAGAGAGCAGAGACAGACCAGAGAAAGAGAGAGACCAGAGACAGACCAGAAAGAGCACAGAAAGAGCAGCATGAGACCAAAGAGGGAGCACAGAGAGACTGCCAAGAAAACAGGCTTCTTTGGAAAGGAACTCAGTGTCTCAGTGGTGTCTACTGTGTGCATGATGTCCTGTAGGTGGCAGACTTTGGTCTGGCTCTGCAGTGTGAAGGGGGACTGGCCTCGATCGGGACCTTCATCACCCAGGCCTGTGGCACACACACCTACATGGGTAAACAAACAGACATCAGTAGTAGTAGTAGTAGTAGTAGTAGTAGTAGTAGTAGTAGTAGTAGTAGTGATAGTAGATGTATTATGTGTCCTCAGCTCCAGAGGTGATGAGTGGTCGTGGGTACAGCCAGAGTTGCGACATGTGGAGCCTCGGAGTCATCATGTACCTGCTGTGAGAGACACAGAGACACACACACACACACACACACACACTTACACACAAAGACACACAACACATATGCCCTCATTTATGAAACTTGCGTGGAAAAGGGTACATTTTGGGTTTATATTCCAAATACGCAAGATCCAACGTGGGACTTATGAAAGTGTGAGATCAGATCCGAGCTTAAGCACCTGCAGCTGTTGATGAATGTGGCGGCTGAAAACGAATATATTTATTACATTTGTTTGTTATTTGTTATTAAAGTCACGTCTATAAATATGCAGCAACCGCCTGTTTCATGCCCCGTTTTTACGACAATTGAGAGGAAGACGGCCAGGAGATTGAGACCATTATAAACAAAGTGGAAAAAAGTTAAGTCTTACTATTTGGAAGTCTCAAAAGTGGCATCAAGGGGGCTCAAAACACAAAATATGGAAAGAGCTGTAAACAGCATGGGGCCTGTGACACTCCTGAAGAGGCGAGTTTATTGATGTTTGTTTATAAAAAAATGTATGCTAAATTATTCAAACAGTTGACAGATATATTGGGCCAATAGTTAGAATTGATTAATTTATGCCTACAGGTGAAAAAGAAAATGGAGCGACCTAAAATGGCAACAAAAAGGCGTTTAGCAGCCCATAAAAGAATGTCTCAGCAACCCAAGGGAGGACCGTCAGACCAAAGCATCCAAAAGAAATTATTAAAAAATAAAATGATCTTCTTCTTATTATTATTATCATTTTAAAATGGTTGAATGGGAGCCTGTCCGAGCTGTACAGGCCGAAGACGGCGCTGGCCATGGTCTGTCATCCTAGGGCTGCTCCACCAGTGCATCCGATGGCACACCGTGGTTCTGAGCCTATTGTGGTGGACCGAGCCACGATCATATGGCACGTGCCCCCTGCATGTCCCAGAGCCATCTCCCTCTGATTAGACCCGCTCAGTGCTCCACGGTGGCGCGCGTCTTTGATTGGACCAACAGGAACCAATTGCCGTTGTAGGTGCTACAGCTACACATACAACAATCCACACATTTGTGGGAGACTTTTGAGATTTGTTTTTCTTGTACGTTATTTAACAACAAACTATCGCCAAACATAACTTCGTAAGATTGCATATTTGTAGAGTGGGAATATGTTTATTGTTGTCCAAATCTTGAATTTTATGCTCGTTATTTAGGTGTTGAGTTGAAGGTTGAGATGGGTGTAAAATTTATACCACCTACTGATTTGGCGTATAGTCTGTGCGTACCGTACGGTCACTTCCAGATTGATAAATGCCAAAAGGTGTACATTTTTTCCCTATGCCTCATATACACCCTGATTTGGCCGTATGCAAGTTTCATAAATGAGGGACATAGAGAGACAAACACATACACACAGAGACACACACACAGACCTGATGTCGACCTCTATGCAGGTTGTGTGGCCAAGCTCCTTTTGAGGCCAGTTCCAAAAGCAGACGTCTGGAGAAGATGAAGCGAGGAGTGGAGTTCCCCCAAACTCTATGGGCGTCTGTGAGTCACACAGGTGAGAGGGTCTAATACTGACACACAGGTGAGAGAGTCTAATACTGACACACAGGTGAGAGAGTCTAATACTGACGCACAGGTGAGAGGGTCTAATACTGACACACAGGTGAGAGAGTCTAATACTGACGCACAGGTGAGAGGGTCTAATACTGACACACAGGTGAGAGAGTCTAATACTGACACACAGGTGAGAGAGTCTAATACTGACGCACAGGTGAGAGGGTCTAATACTGACACACAGGTGAGAGAGTCTAATACTGACACACAGGTGAGAGAGTCTAATACTGACACACAGGTGAGAGGGTCTAATACTGACACACAGGTGAGAGAGTCTAATACTGACACACAGGTGAGAGGGTCTAATACTGACACACAGGTGAGAGAGTCGAATACTGACACACAGGTGAGAGAGTCTAATACTGACACACAGGTGAGAGGGTCTAATACTGACACACAGGTGAGAGAGTCTAATACTGACACACAGGTGAGAGAGTCTAATACTGACACACAGGTGAGAGAGTCTAATACTGACACACAGGTGAGAGAGTCTAATACTGACGCACAGGTGAGAGGGTCTAATACTGACACACAGGTGAGAGAGTCTAATACTGACACACAGGTGAGAGAGTCTAATACTGACACACAGGTGAGAGAGTCTAATACTGACACACAGGTGAGAGAGTCTAATACTGACACACAGGTGAGAGGGTCTAATACTGACACACAGGTGAGAAGGTCTGGTTCTCGGTCCCCAGCTTTAAAAACAAATGTAAAATAATATACATGTATAAAGAAACTTTATGTATGTGTGTTTCTTCAGCTCAGACGGTCCTACCCAGTCTCCTGAGCCCAGACCCGGTCCAGAGGATCACAGCCTTCCAGATGCTGCAGAGCCCCTGGATTACGGTGAGACTCTTGGTATTTATTATGCAATACGTTTGCTCCTTAAAGCTGGGGTATGTAAACTACAAAATCAATGTTACTACTCCCAGGTGCTAAAACAGTTGCTTCTATGATTAGTTTAAGCTATTTCTGGCCTTTGTCTCATCTTTAAATCAACTTTTGAGAGGCAATTACGTAGCCCCAAGAGTCAAATATCAACTCACAGGAGTCTTTCTTACACACATAACATGTTTTCTACTAAGATGAAGACAGCAGGTTATGTTCTGATGTGTTCACAGTATTACACTTAATCTCAAATGTGTCTGTTGCAGGGAGACTTCAGTCGCCCACTGCCTCCAGATTTTCAGGAGCGAGTGAGTGAGAAGCACGGTGAGAACCACACTCATACAGCTTCTGACACACTCACAGCACTCATACCGGACCAGGAACATAGTGTATATAGTGTGTTTGGTGTGGCCAGATCTGCAGGTGAAATCCTGATCAGGCCTGGTTAGTGATATGAGACCTCTGGGAACACCAGCTGCCACAGTGGGGCGGCTGTAAAGTGCCAAACTGCTGTGTCCTTAGGCAAGACACTTAACCAACATAAGAATGAGTCTGGTGTGCGTGAATGGTTGGTGATGGTGGGAGCGGGCCGATGCCACATTCTGGTTGCTTCGCTTCTGCCAGTGTGCGAAGTAGTATTTTATAACCACTGTGTTTGGAGTAAAAGAAAAATGACATGTGAGGCGTCCAGAAAAGCGCTATATACAACCTATGCATTATTCATTTTTACTCATTATTATTGCTAATTAACTTTCACACGTGAGAAAATTCAGAAATGCACATGCGTGACACTGTAAGTCCCATTTGTAATGCTGTCTTTTGTGTGTGCGTATGTGTTACTGTGTGCGTCCAGCAGAGGGCAGTGTGTCTCCAGACTCCAGCCCCAGAGAGCACAAACCCCACAGTCCCGTCTGCAGCCAGGTACAACTACAGAATACACTATTACATTTAAACAGTTATACAGTCTGTTATTAGCTTTAGGAGGCAACACAGAGATACTAACATGTGCAAGTGTCTCTGACCCGGTTTTATCATTTATAGTGAGATTTAAGTGAAACAAAACATGTTATAGGCAAAGGTTCACGGTTACATGTCTCATATAGACAGAAGCCGTTCACATACAGCAGTCAGTGTAAACTCTATTCTGATCATTTTGCTTTTGACAAGAATGAAGCGGAGAATGGAGTTTGTCAAAAGCTGATGAAGAAATACCAGAGTGAAGCTTTGTCCCCCAAGACTCAAGTAAGGAATAAACTTAATTTAGTTAATAAAAATCAGCACAATGAAATACATGTGTCTGCTTTTAAAATGGATGAAGCAAGTTTTTCATTGTAGACAATCACTCAGACACACACAGACACACATTTATACACACACACACACTTATATACACGTTTATATACAGAGCATACACACACACAGACGGACATGACAACATCTTCTACCACTCCAACACCTCTGTCAAACATATAACTCAAACACAAGTGTCGTCAGACAAAAGTCACATGAGAAGTAACATTCTCAGGCTCTTGTTGTGCTGTTGTTTCTCCCAGTCACCACCAGATGTTGCCAAACCCTCCTCGAAGAGAAAAATGTCCACGGTCCGAAAGAAGAGGAACAGCGGCCCCAAAAACACCGTGTCTGTGGAGACGAGCCGCAGCTGACGGACTTGAACCACGCAGAGGATCAAAGCTGAACCAAACTGTGCCAAACTGTGCCAAAAACCACCACTACAAATGTGCAATTAAAGGGAATGTACTCTGGGCTGTGAGCCTGCTTCTAACAGCACTCCCTTGTCATCTCCTGCTGTTGTTATTTGTTTGTGTAGTCCTACACTGATCTTACTATTGCATCTATACACAGTGTTTACCTCAGAGTTGTGCTCTCTCTGACCTCAATGTTAGCATGCTACGTCTTCTTTAATCCAGTGCCAGGATGCTTCTGAATGTTATTTATGTGTGTGATGTGCTCAAATATGAAATGAGAAAAGGTGCCATTGAGCAATCCTCCAGTGTTCGTTTACTCCACGCTAAGACCTCAGCTTCACTAAAGTCACAATGAACACTGGACAGTGTCACTGTTAACACCTGAATGTTAATGTACGACAAAAATATATAAATAAAATGGGTCAATTGCAGAAATTATGATTCAATTTGTTTTTCTACTCTGAAAAGATTTACCCTTGTTTGAAGTGTGGGACTAAAGGTAAGACCATCTTTTAGTCCAGGCTTGGATTTGATGAGGCCTGAAGCAGGACTAAAACAGGACCAAACCAGTACCTACTGTCGGGCCATAAATCAGTCTCTTCTGTACATTATGTCCTCACATATTATTTATTTCCTTTGACACCTGCAGCAGTTTGTGACGTGTCCCTTCAGTCGTGCATGTGTCTGCGCGCTCCCTGCTGTCCATGCGCGCCCCCGCCCCTGCTCTCCGTGCACGGGCAGGGATCCCTTGTCTCTCCTCGTCTCTTGCCTCATCGTCTCCTCTCGGTGATGGACGCGTGAACATGCCGCTATCCACGCGCCTCCTCGCGGCTCTGCTCCTCGTGCTCACTGCTTCCGCCTCCAAACTTGGTCAGTGTCATGTTATTCATATTTTTGTTTTATGTTTTTACTAAAAATGATCAAAGATGTTTATTGTATAGACGCACTTCCGTTTGCAGAGAGTGCACGCGGTGAATCACTGCTGTCACGTCACAGCATCCAGGTTTCTATAGCAACACTAAAGCTCTACTCTGAATCATAACTTTGTTTGTTTTTCTCGTATTAGAGATCATCCAATTCGGCACTTTCTTTCCTCGATTAACAATGAATTATTCAACAGTATTGAACCTGACTTTGACTTAAACATGCTGGGATATATCATAATAATTAAAGTTTTGCTTAGTTTGTCCAATGGAAGAAAAAGAAAGAAAATGTTCCAAATTTATCACAGCCGAGAGCGGATTGGTTGAGTGTGGGTGGTCCTCTCTTCAACAGTTTTCTGTCTGAAAAAGCTGATCTGAAGATGTAACAGCGGAGAGAGATACATGACACTAGTGATAGAAGCAAATGTTTTAGAGCCAGAAACTAGTTACATGGATTTTATTATGTTGTAGTTTGAAATTAGCATCGCCCAGGTTTATTGTTACCCAAGTCCAGACCTGAGTCCAGACCCTAGTCCAGACCCTAGTCCAGACCCTAGTCCAGACCCTAGTCCAGACCCCAGTCCAGACTCCAGTCCAGACTCCAGTCCAGACTCCAGTCCAGACTCCAGTCCAGACTCCAGTCCAGACCATAGACTGTATATGTCCAGACCTCAGTCCAGACCCCAGTCCAGACCCCAGTCCAGATCCCAGTCCAGAGTCAGACCTGAGTCCAGACCTGGCCCTGGTCTGAGTGCAGTGCGATGAGTCACAAGCGATTCCGTCAGACCAGTGCGAGTTGAGACCAGGAGAAAACACAGGGATTTACACACAAGCTGCTTCCTTTAGAGCTGCTTCCTTTAGAGCTGGATCCTTTAGAGCTGGAAGATGCATTGTTTTTGCAAAACATTAATCGGGTGCATTTATGTAGAATTGTATTTCAGCTGAACACCAGAATCAAGAAAAGGTTTGATTAGATTCTCAAATATTCACATGTTTTTCTTATGTCTGAAAGAGACAAGAGAGAGACCAAAGACCAGAGAGAGACCAGAGAGACCACACACAGGATGTACGGCCATACGGTCATACGGTGTGATTAAAGCTGTGGTCTGTAAATATTGATCAGAAAAACAGGAAAGAAGACAGAGAGGGTCAGGTTTAAACAGAACAAGACCCATTTAAAATAGAATATATATGAGCATTGACAATATATGAGCTTCCACTGCGTTAGCTTCAAGTCGTAACATAGGCAGACGTGTTGCTAAGGCGGTTGCTAAGGTAAGTCACCCCAGCGAGTGAAGGCATCTGATTAATCAATCCTTAAAGGGCTAATATCTGAATTTACAAAGACAATATCACAATATAAATGTCACCATGAGCACTTCCCTTTTGGGTTTTGTTTGAGCGAGCGGGTTACCATTGTCTATGGTTCTGCAAACATACATTAGTCTTTCATACATTTTATGACTTTGACTCTCTTACACCTGGCTCATTAAGCATTTCTGTCCTGGTTTCTGCTTTACTTTTATCGCGGCACCATTGAAAGTTTGCTTGTCCAGAGAGAGGGACCAGAGTGAGACCAGAGAGAGACCAGAAAGAGGTGCTCCGCTGTTTTGGAGGTTCTTTATGGATCCAGACTCTTACATTCTCTCCTAAATTCCAGCTCCTAGAATGAACATAGATCTGCTGGGACTGACTATACATTTGAATGCATTGTCCTTTTTAATTTAATTTTTTTATTATGTATGGACCAATTTTATCTTGAGTCTCAAACAAAGATTAATAATAAAATCAATGACTCTTCTGGCCCCTGGAAAAGCCATGTTCCAACTATTTAAAGGTTTTTATTTGATTGGTTTCACAGTGAAGATTGTTTCTGTACTTTTAGCTTGTTTCATTTATGTGCTTTTCCGGCAAAAAAACTGATACTTAGTCCAGAGTAAAAACTCAAATTAAAAGTCTGGTCACAGAACTGTCTTTGTGTGAAGATCAAACTGGGAAAGAAACAGCTGTTTTCTCTGATAATATTCATGTCTTTGTGCAGAAATGCCACGTGTATCTTTTGTCTTTAAGGTTAAACGCTTTATTGTTCTGCTGCTGGACAGACTCTGTGTCCTCAGGCGTGTGGAAACTATGAGCAAACTGGACTTTTATTCGTGTGGTTTGAAAGTTACATGCCCCTAGTCGTTTCATAGGACTTACATGGAACTCAGAGAGAGTAACATTCTATATAACGCTTGTGTGATGTTTAATGTTGTGTATGAACTGAATGATCGCCTCTGTCAGCTCATTCCTATCACTACTTCTACATGTACACACAACACTAGAAAGAAACACTGGCTGAAGGACAAACACCACAAACTCAAATGTACCAGTTTTAGTATCACTTGTAAAGGTCCAAACATCTGGAACGACGAATTACTCAATCTAAATCATTGAGAATATTTAAAAAAAGATTGAAACACAGTTTGCTCCAACATTATACAACACTATGAGCCCCGGGCTGAGAACTGAAAACCGGTGAAGTAATCTCAGATGTATTTATTGTTGTTACTGTATCATGAATGATGGGAATTATTATGTAGCATGTTTGCTCCAATGATTTCAATGTGTTAAAAGTTACATTACTATGTGTAAGACCAAACTATTAGAAAATGAACCAAAGAGTACAGACTGCACCTGTAAGGACTTGTAAATGGGTAAAATGTTTAGAAATGGGTTTAGGATTACATAAAGGTATAAATTGTCACATTTGTTTTACATGTATTGTTTTTGGGGCCCGTCTATGAGCTAATGCAGCTTCCTGGGAGTTCCCTTTTACAAAATACCAACTGTCTCTACAATATAAATGTGTATAACTTGTATGAGTTTTGTAAATAAAAGAATTGAATTGAATTGAACTTTATAAAGTTGTTGATTTGCCAACAGAACAGAGAATCAAACAATTCAAATACTTAAATGCAAAAATAATAACAAACACAAAGGAGCCATTGGTCAATATGGAGTAATGAACACCGTCCAGAAATGTTCATACATCCTGGATCATCACTGTCTGTAGAGCCTCCTGCATTAGAGGAACCAATCAGAAAACCAGGACGGAGGCTGTAGATCCAGGACAGAGGCTGTAGATCCAGGACAGAGGCTGTAGACCCAGGACTGAGGCTGTAGACCCAGGACTGAGGCTGTAGATCCAGGACGGAGGCTTTAGATCCAACAGGTCCAGGCCAGGTGCAGTAGCAGTAGTGAATAACTAAAACATACATAAATAAACAACAGCATTCAGATTGTAAAATGAATATCTTTAATTTCGTTTCGACAGATGGGAGCTGGTTTTCCACATTGAGTGAAAGACAACAGACCTTTTCTGCGACTTTCTGATCTGAATTTACCAGTTTTTATTTATTTTTATATTTGTCTTTGTGTGTTTCCAGGATGTCTGTTTGAGAAGCAGCTGTGTCTCCGGGAGCAGATCTGTAGCGACGGTGAGTTTCAGAGCAGGACTAAAGCAGGACTAAAGCAGGACTAAAGCAGGTCTAAAACAGGACTAAAGCAGGACTAAAACAGGACAAAAGCAGGTCTAAAGCAGGACTAAAGCAGGACAAAAGCAGGATAAAAGCAGGACTAAAACAGGTCTAAATCAGGACTCTCTGGTTCCTCTCTCTGCTCTCGCTCACTGGTCTCTCTCTCTGGTCTCTGTCTCATTGGTCTCTCTAGCTCTCTTTCTGGTCTCTCTCTCTCACTGGTCTCTCTGTCTGGTCTCTCTCACTGGTCTTTCTCAGCTCTCTTTCTGCTCTCTCTCTCTGCTCTCTCTCACTGGTCTCTCTCTCTGGTCTCTCTCTCACTGGTCTCTTTCAGCTCTCTTTCTGGTCTCTCTCTCACTGGTCTCTCTCTCTGGTCTCTCTCACTGGTCTTTCTCAGCTCTCTTTCTGCTCTCTCTCTCTCTCTGCTCTCTCTCACTGGTCTCTCTCTGGTCTCTCTCTCACTGGTCTCTCTCAGCTCTCTTTCTGGTCTCTCTCTCTCACTGGTCTCTCTCTCTGGTCTCTCTCACTGGTCTTTCTCAGCTCTCTTTCTGGTCCCTCTCTCTCTGCTCTCTCTCACTGGTCTCTCTCTCTGGTCTCTCTCTCACTGGTCTCTCTCAGCTCTCTTTCTGGTCTCTCTCTCTGGGCTCTGTACCATATGAACTATTGTTTCCTGTTCAACATGACATGATGAAAGCATCTCACATCAGCACACAGCGTAAACATGAGCCAAAGGGAGCGAGGCTTGTTGCCACGGTGACGATGACGTGGGGGGGAGGATGAGTCATCGCTGCTGCGGTCCACGACACATGTAAACACGCACTCACTGTAAACAAGGCTCTTTCAACACTGCTTTCATCTGAGCCAAAATGTCCTGTTCTCAGCTCCAAGTTCTGGATCATCAGAATCAGGAGCAGTTACTTTCCCCTGGGCCCACTTTGTTTTTCAGGTGGTTACGGTTTTGTATTTATATTAGAACAACATCTTTTAGTGTAAGCTACTTCAGTTAAAATGTAACGAAAATGTATGTATTTCATAAATGGGTAATCGCAGAAGAGAAAAAAGTGTGTTTGCTGATCTTTTCATCTGCAGCTAAATTTTTAATAACGTTTTACAATTTGGGAGGTACTTTAAGGACATTAATTATAGAGTTTAGCTTGGATTGAACCAAAGTTGGAATAAAGCTAAAGAAGACTAAGTAGTAGCCATTACAGCATTGGGTATTGATTCCCATTCCTTTGAATGGGGGGGAGAGAGGGAAAAGGTCAGAGGGCCACATAGAAATGTGAATCAGGCCATATGTAGTGTCAGGGATGAAGCAGACAGAGACGGATCGTGGTGCGCCAAACTCTGGAAGTTTATTTAAGTTTCTCTCAAGTTCCACTGGTTTCCATTGTTTCCTTCTCTCAGACAGCATTGTCACGTCACACATCGAAAGACGTACGTGTCACACAGAGACTGTCACATCACAGTCAAAATAATCAGAGTCCTTGTACAGTCCTGCACGTAGGCCATATTGCTATCTAATACTAACAGCAGCCCCCAGGCCGCACTTTGCCCAGGTCTGATCAGAATGTAGTCTCATATGTTGTGTGTTTTTCAGATGGGCTGTTCGGGCAGTGCCTGGGTCCAGACCAGGTCCCGGTCCAGTACCAGATCTCGGTGCCGGTTCTGCATCGTCTGCAGCATGTCCTCAAGGAGCTCATGGAACAAGGTCTGATGTTAGTGTTCTGAAGTGTGTGTGTGTGTGCTGGTGTGAGGAGGGTACAACACTCACAAAGAACTAAACCAGACCCTCTGCAGTGTGAATGTGCCATAAGCTTCCAAAGAGAATCTTCAAGTCAATTCCATGTAATTTTGTAGTGCCCTAAATCACAACAGAGGCCGTCGCAGAGGACTTTACAAAGTTGTGGATTCACCAACAACAGAGAATTCAACAGTTCAAACACAGGAAATGCAATGATAACAAACACATAGGAGACAATGGTCCAGTTTTTGACTTTTTCTTTCCTACCCAGCCATATACTGAATGATATATTTACATATTTATTTATCTGTGGTTCATTAGGTCTGACGTGGAGAGACGACATCACTCAGGCCGTGATCAGTCGGGAGCTGTCCTCAGTGCGGAGCAAACAGGACCGCAGCCCGTAAGTCACTTTCACTTTCACTCAACTGTGACAGTATCAAGAGTCTCTAAAGGACCCTCGATTCTGTGTAATCTTACCATGATTCTGTGTCTTTAGTTTGCCATACCTACTCCCCCCACACACTCTCCCCACAGACCCCCCCCCCCTCAGGGCCTTCAGCCTGCAGCTTTCAGTCTCACCCTCTCGACTTAGACCTCTCCCTCAGTCTCACCCTCTCCTTCCCCCTCAGACCCCTCCCTCAGCCTCAGACTCACCCTCTGCTCTCTCCTTAGACCCCTCCCTCCCTCGGGGCCTGGTCCTCAGTCTGTGGCCTCAGACTCAGAGCTCCTCCAACAGTTTGTGGACTACATTGTCCTGGACCCGTCTCAGTCTGTGGACCCCTACGCTTACAAACAGGTACAACACACAGAGCTCTCATTACACACAGAGGGCCAGTCGTCTTCAGTGTCTGCTTTAGTTTCTGCTTTAGGCCCGTTTACAGAGAGACGCTGCGGAGACGTTGCAAAGCAATTTCTAAAAACGACCAGGCTTCGTAAGTACTGAGCATCTACAAGAAGACAGAAAACCATGTAGTTCTAGCGCCGGGCCACTAAGGGGCAGTGCAACTTTACAACACAACACACGCGGCCCGCAGCAGCATAAGCACTTCCTCAACAACATTCTCCTCAGACCACTGCAAAGACGAGGAAGAACCAACATCATTCTGCATAGTAGCTGCGAAAATGGAAACTGAAACTAAATTGTCCCATTGTTTTGTTTGGACAAACGAAGGAGTAGAATCCTCTGTGTAGCGCTCGACGCACACGTAGCAATTGTTGGCCCGCCGCCATTGTTGTTTATGTTTGTTCTCGGCCACTGTGCGTGTCCAAATGTACGTGCAGGGAAGTGCCGAGGTCATTGCTGGCAGAGAATTCACATCATTTTCTTGTCACTGCTGTGAAACAGCCCCTTGCCCCTCTGCTCTGTTCCATTCACGAGGCCTCTCCTCAACGCTAGCATTTTCACCTGAAACACTGATGTATCGTATTACTGTTGCAGCGTCTCTGTGTAAACAGCACTTTAGTGTCGGCTTCAGTCTTTGCTTCAGTCTCTGATTTAGTCTCTGCCATAGGCTGCGGCACAGGCACAACTTGAAGGAACTTATCTTCTAATGAGTTCATCAAAATGCGTAGTATTACATACAAGTTGTATTAAAACCCGTAATTTAATTGAAAATTTGAGCTCATTGATTCAGTTTGTGTATGAATTCAGGCCATGTAAAGTGCTGAGTTGACACAAGCATCACACAAGTGTGATGCTTGTTCTTCTCCACTTGCACATCGTGGGGCAGTGCTGTTGCAAACAGGCCACGCCTCCTCTAGCACCTGCCCTGCAGGCGAACAGAACAGAATGGCAGCAGAAAGTGGCTATACCTCCTCTGGCTGTAACTGCATATGCAGAAGTGAGGAGGAGAAGACTCCTATACTGTATATTCTGTGAGCAGTGCGTTGCTTTTGTTATCGTTTCATTAGTGATTGTTTTACAGCTTATAAGAAGTTGGCTCCGTGGAAGGAGAGCGTAAGGGAGAGTAGGAGGTTTTCTCAAAATGAGAAGCCTGTGAGCAAGTTGCGATGCTAAACATTCAAACTGAAAAAAACAGGATGGGGGGGTTAGGGTGTCGGAGACGAGATACAGTATTGTGCGCCACGTAACGTCTTCCTGATGCGCCCCCGGGATAACTCCCTTCTATTTTGACCCTCACTGTCACAGGATGGTGCTATTCCAATAACACTTTGGACGCTCAGGAGTCAGACTTTGTTTTGAGGCTAAAACACACCAATGCACACTTGTATTCTGCTCCAGTCGCTGTATACTTGTACACCACACTTTTCATTCTTTCATTCACATTCATTCATTTCTCAACACTCGCACCACCGCGCGCCCGCATACACACGTTATCAAATAAGCTGCTGTACATTGGAGAAAGACACATCTCACTCTTGTACTCTTGCAAAGAAGATGATCCATGCGCAAGCTAGGTCGTCGCTGAAGTTTGTATTTAGAGCCACCAGCTGGACCGAGCTTTTTTGTATAACACTCCGGGTGATCCAAGATGGCGCCCTATTCAAATGAATGGCTGGCTAGTTGGATTTTACAAGAAAAAAGTTTAGGATGACAAGGGAAACTAAAATCCCCACAAAATCTGATCTTTATGAAAGCTCTAGGTTCTTTGTCAGCTGAGGTCAAGCTGTTTTAGTTTACATTGAGTTCTATGGAACTTTATTCTGGGAGGCTCGTGTGAATTTAGTCTGCAGTACCACGGGCGCCCCCTGTGCCCATAGATGGGACAGCTATAAGCTAGTAATACCCTATCCAGATATATCCATGAGAACAACGCTGGGTATTGTACTGGGCTGGCACGGTTGAAAAAATACACTCTTCTGACCGTAGGCCGTCTTCACACCCCTTTGGTGACGATCCAGGCCACTTGGCCTGATTTGTTTGTAAAAAGCTATGTGACTTTGCCCTTAGTCTTTGTGTTAGTCTCTGCTTTAGTCTGTGCTTTAGTCTCTGATTTAGTCTCTGATTTAGTCTGTGCTTTAGTCTCTGATTTAGTCTCTTCTTTAGTCTCTGATTTAGCCTCTGATTTAGTCTTTGCTTTAGTCTGTGCTTTAGTCTCTGATATTTTGGCTTGTTCACACTAAAAGGCACAAAAGTGTGACAAAAGGCCAGAAATTAGATTTTAATAATCAGAAGATATTTTATGTTTTTCATGTCTCCAAACACCTCCTCTGTCCATTAGAAGTTTCTAGAACATAACTGTTTTATACATTAGACAAGTTTCCTGTAGCGGCCCTGTTTATTTTATGTAACGGACGTGATGATTTGACGGAATGAGCTTTGTGGAAGTTTGATAGGTATTTTCAGATGTCCACATTTGATTCAGAGATTCTATTTTTTTACACAAAGTAGATGCAAAGTGATACTTTCATAAAGTCAACCAATTAAATGTGAAACCAGACCAGATTTTTTTTTTTCTCAAGTTTAATTTTTAGAGAAAAGAGGACCGTCCTCATCACGTCCGTTATACATTTTTCAGGGGTCATTTAATTAATTAATTAATTTTTATTTTTTCACGATTCTTTTTTATAATCAAGTGATTTACTGATGTTGTGTTAACCATGTAAATATTGTGGGATTTCATCTTCTGCTTTTTCAGACTGAGGACATTTTATTTTCTATGTAACCAGCGTCACAGTAGAATGGTCCAATCAGAGGCTGATTTGGTCGTTTAAAATTTTGCTAAACATTTTTATGTCAATCTTTCCTTTTGATTTTTTCCACACTATCTCTTCAATGTGTCTGTGTTTGAAATCTTTTTTCCAATCTATGAAAGTAATTTTAGTTTTTAAGTTATAACCTTTTAAAGTCCAGATACTTCAATTGTCACTTTACTGTGAACACACTAATTTAGTCTGTGCTTTAGTCTCTGATTTAGTCTCTTCTTTAGTCTCTTCTTTAGTCTCTGTTATAGCTTCATCTCTCCTCTCTGTTCTGCAGCAGCCGCATTTCCGGCTCCAGGACGAGGACCAGCGCTCCCTGAACTCTCTTGACCAGAATCCAGTCTCCACCGGCTCCAGGTCTGGTTCTGTGGGTCAGGACCAGCAGCTGCTCCAGACCTTGGTCTCTTACTACATGGGTGCTCCATCCGGGCCTCCGCTGCCTCACCACACGGGGGCGTTGTCCCTGTCCGACCTGGAATTCCCCCTGGACTACGGACAGGACTTTGTGTCTCAGCTCGAACCCAAACAGAACGAGAAGAAAACACAGCAGTTTAAAAGTCTGGGAGGAATCCACGGTGAAAAATACTATTACTACTACTGCTGCTACTACGATACTGTAACAACTACTACTACTACTGCTGCGGTTTGCTTGATATTTCCTCATATTTCCTCATCTTAGGGTCCTCAGTGCAGTCTCTGTCCTCTCTCTTGGATCACATTTCTGAATCTGACAGAGCAGATCTTCCCTCCAGCCTCAAACAGCTCAGTCTGGACTCCTCCTACTCTGACCTCCTCAAAGGTAACGCTCACTGAGACTCACAGCAAGAAGGTTCTTTAATAAACATGTAAAGAAGCTAGTGATGCTGAATCCAATTTTCCCACTGAGGCTGCATTCCAGTTTCTGGATCCTAAAGATTTGAGAATAGAAGAAGAAAAAAGAAACGGATACACAGGTCTAATTCGGGTCTTGTGTGGCTACAGATTTTCATTCCAACCATGCAGGAGCACCGTAGACTCCACCAATTTCTTCAAGTCTCCAGGTTTAAACCAAGCCCCATGATGTCTGAGAGAAACCAAAGAGAGAAAGATCAGAGAGAGAGACCAGAGAAAGACCTGAGAAACAGATCAGAGAGAGTCGGGAGTGAACACTGAGGTCTATGGGAACGTCTCCACCGGCCTCAGTGTTGGACCACACGCTCTGACCTGGAGCTGCCTCTGTTTTGTTTCACCGTCAAATTAATGAGTCACAAATGTAAGAATCTGTCACTGCTGCAGAGAAGTGTGAACTCAGCCACAGGTGTTCCAAAAAAATAAAGCATTCAAATATGTATTCTATTCTGCTCTGTGTTCAAGCTCTTATGTCACTCAAACCTCTCTTTGTTTTCCAGATAAATATGGAAACGCTGCAGCTCCGGGAAAGAAGGTAAGTTACGAGCTAAATGTGAATTTTGTGTGTCATTTTGTGTGTCCTTAACGCTCTCCTGTCGCTAGTTCACAGAAGGCTCCATGTTGTACAAATCCAAATCTGAGAAACCGGCTGAAGTCCCAGAATCAAACCAGGACAGAGACAGCGCCACCAAGAGGTAAAACTGCACACTGTGATATCAACAATGGCTTTCTTGCAAATGACGCATGGGTTCAAGCACCCTGTTCCCTGCAGGAAATTTAGAGGGAGCGACTGTTATTAACAAGAACTGGATATACTAATTGGAAGCTTGCTAATGATAAGGCAAAGGGGTTTAGCAGGCATAGTAACAGCAAAGAGCACCTAGCATTTATGGCTACCTGGAAAGAGAAGCAAATGTGATGCAACACAGGTAGTGAAATTTCAGCTGTGGTTAATTTTGATCAGCCTGTGCGAAACCAGCTGTATGTACCTGGAACTGTGGACATAATAGAATTTCTCGTCTCAAACAAACTGCCACTGTGGGGTGGATTCAGTCAGTAACAGAGATGAAGAGGGCGGCGGACTGTTTCTCTCACTGTTTGATTATACTGTAAGGCAAAACCAAGAGCTAGCGAGGGCTTCCAGTACGATTCCAAAAAACGCAACTTACACATGATATTTAATTTCACATCATTGAACGGATGAGCACGATCGTAATGGCAAATTGTTAAAGATGTTGGGGAGTCGCGGTTTACAATGTGGATTGAACTTAACACAGGCAGTGAAAATGTCTCTATATAGTTTAAATCTCTCCTAAAAACCCACCTGTTTCAGCTTGCCTTTCCTTAATTTTGTTTTTCAATGTTTATTTCTGTGTGTTTTGTAAAGCGTCTTTGAGTGTCCAAAAAAGCGCTATATAAGTTTGATGCATTATTATTATTATTATTATTATAGTTTGTGTTTTGTGGACAAGGATTAAAGTGCAGGAGAGGCTGTTGTCAATGCAGACAACAGACAGGTGTGATGCCCTGTCACTCACTGATGTAGTGCTCAATGATCTGTCAAATACTGGTCTTAGTCATTGTTATGATGGAGTCAGTGTCATTCTGGTAGAGAAGGAGGCGTGGAGAAGCTTATTCAAATTCAATCTGAAGAGACCAAAGACACGATAAATACATTTAAAATGATTTATTTGTTTGGCGCATTGACCCCGGCAGTGACACTTGCAGCTATGAGATCGATTGCAGCTGAGATGATCTCAGATCCCCCGGGGTCAATCACTGGTGGTGGCTAGAAGCATGGTGTAAAAATGGGGCGTAGGTGGAGCAGAGCCGGAACAGAAGCCAGGGCCAGAACCGGAGCCAGAGCCAGAGCCAAAGCAGGAGCCGAGGGGGTTGCTGGGGAGGTGGCGGGTGTTTAGAGCTTTCAGGAAGCGCTGTTTGTCAGGAAGTGGCTGCCTTTTAAACTGCCCGCTTGGTGCCAGGGTGTTGGCAGGGGGCTGGCCGGGCTGTGTGATTGGCTGAGGCTCGAGGCTGGCAGAGCTGTTTGATTGGCTGAGGCTCGAGGCTGGCAGTGCTGTGAGATTGGCAGGCACTCGGTCTTTCAGTCTGAACATCCGCTTGAGCTTCATATAAGTTAAAAAGAGAAATGCCTTATATTCATTGTTTCAACCACCAATTGCATTTGGTGTTAGTTCATGCTATTTCACCTGAGAGTACATTTGACGTCTATAATTCCCTTTTTATATTTCTGTAAAAGCCCACTGTAGCAGCACAGTACAGAGGAGAAAAGCTTAAAAGGCTGTTCGGTCTCTGTGGTGCTGAGGTCACACACCACACTGGTGGACTTCCTGAAAGAAATGGGATCCACAGGAGCAGGTGCTGATGTGAAAATTGAAGCTGTTGCACTTCACAAGGCCATCACAGACCAGAGATTCAAGTTTCTGACCTGTGTGATGCACTAAATATTGGTGCTAATGGACTCAGCCAGTTGGATCCCACACGGCAAATAAAACGGATCTAATTACCGCAGTCCGGCTCATTCAAAGTGCATCTTCTTGCATCAAAGATTAAGATCTGATGCGGAAATTCTGAAACTGGTCTGACAGTGGGGATGAAGGTGAGGGTGCCTGCCCCTCCAAAACAACAACGGCAGACCACCAGGACCTTTCAGGACAACGTGGTGAGTGACTGCCTTGGACAGCGCAAAACAGACATCAACAAGACATCAACAGGAGTGCAAGCGGCTGGATGGTTGCGCGTTTCAGCGAGCAGAATGGGAAATACATGCTTTGAACGCTTGAGCGACTGCAGAACTGAGGCTAAACACAGATAGAAATGAGAGATTATCAACAGCTATAGGCCACAGAACATTCAACCTCACGCTGTTGATTAACAAGGGGATTGTGTGTGATTTGCATTTTGAAGTCGGTCCTCCATGGTTCCTTTTTTAAACTTGTCAGGGCACTGTGGAACCAACGATATTAGTAGTACCTGTGAAATGAAAACACAATTCTCCTTTTCGTCCCTTATCAAGCAATGTACTGTACTTGAAAATGTATTGTGCATTGACATGGAGCGTTCTCCGGCCTCACGAACGTAATAGGTCAAAATCTAAGTCCATTAGATCAATTCAAAATTATGGTGGAGGTTGACATTTGTAGAAAGAACACATTTGTGAATGTTTTTTTCATTTGGAGCAACTGTAAAAAAAGCTGAGTACCTTTTCTGTTCGCTCTCTTTCTGGAACCTCGAGCTTTTGAGTCATATTTGTAAAACCAAAGCAAAAGCAGGTGTCGTAATGTATGATGTGCAAAATGTTTTTAAAAAGTGAAAGTGAAAGTGCAAGCGTGTGTCCTCAGTGCTCTGGAGCCAGCGCTGAAGTTCAAACCCAGCTCTCGGAACGCCACGGCGGCGGAGAAAGCCGGTGAGAAACTTAACAAACGGGTTGTAACTGTTTTAAATGATCAACTGTTCATATGAAGTGTGTCATGTTTCAGTCGTGGAAAAAACGTATGCTGAAACGGACTCAAGGCTGAAAGATGAAGAGGTGAGAGGACTACGAATACTGCTGATAATACTACTGCTGATACTACTACTGCTGCTGATACTACTACTGCTGCTGATACTACTACTACTGCTGATACTACTACTACTGCTGATACTACTACTGCTGATACTACTTCTACTACTACTACTACGTACTGCTACTACTGATACTACTACTACTGCTACTACTGATACTACTACTACTTATACTACTGATACAATTACTACTGATGCTACTACTACTGCTAATACTACTACTACAACTTATACTACTACTACGACTGATATTGATACTACTACTACTACTACCACTGCTAATACTACTACTACTACTGATACTGATACTACAACTGCTGAGACTACTACTGCTGACACTGCTGATTCTACCTATACTACTGCTGATACTACTACTACTACTACTGCCGCTACTACTGATACTGCTGCTTCTACTTCCTCCATATAAAGTCTTGAATGAAATATATATATATTGGCGGATGTCACTGAGGAATATTTCTCTCTTTAATTGAATGTTTCCGCCCCATTAGCGACGTCCACCCTGTTACTGTGACAACGGCGGCAGCAGTATCTTTGCCATTATGTCAAATTATAATGAGTGACAATCTCTTTGGCCTTAACGAGCCTGTCTCCAGGGCAACGGGGTTAACGAGCAACAACGAGACTGACGCACATCAAATCTAACATCTTTGTATTCCGATAAAGATGGGGGACGCAACTTTCACCACAATAGAACTCAGCCCAAAGAGTCAAATAGTGACTCACAGGGCTCTACACTAAAGACAACATGTTATTGATCTGATTTACTTTTACAAGACTCTTTCTTGAGGACAAACTGCGCATGTTGTTCATCCATTTCTTCCGCTTCATCCGTTGTTGGTTCACGTCTCTAAGCAGAGACGCAAACACATTATGTTTTCTATAAAATAAAAAGTTTGGTACGCCAGCTTTGATTTTAGCTGAAAAAGCTGATCTAAAGATGCGACGGAGGCGAAAAGTACAATACATACAAGTGAGAACTGCTTTAGCACAGGGACGCTAAAGTGGTTGGAAAGTTACGCACCCGAGCTTTGGTAAAAAATCTCAGGATCCGATTTGCAGAAAAAGAACTGTAAAAACATGTACAAGACTGCCCCAGTGTGCACCAGATAGTACACACCAGAGCCGTTGATGGTGTTGTTCCAGATCCCTGTGGGCCAGGCGTTGCCGCTGAAGACCCCTGTGAGGCCGCGCTCTCGCTGGGCCTTCGTCACCCTCGTCATCATGGCCTGTGTGGGGAGCCTCCTGGTGGCAGCTATGACCATTGCCTGCTTACGCCACCATGCACACCGCCTGGCCGCCAAGAAACTGGGACTGGGGCCAGAGGCGGGGCCCTACACGCACCAGGAGTACCAGGTGAGGCCTTTAAAGCTGACACATGGTGTATTTAGAGATTATTTAAGATGGGACACTGTATTTAGAGATTATTCAATTTGGAGCACTGTATTTAGAGATTATTAAAGCTGGGACATTGACAGGACCTGTGTCGTCAGCACATGGCGTCTAAAGGAGCGTTCGGACGACTGGAGGCGGCGGCTTTGGGAGCTGTGGGAGGAGCCAGCGGAGGAGGAGGCGTGGCCAGTGCAGGGGCCGGGGGCGGAGCTTATGGAGTGGGTGGAGCTTACGGAGTGGGCGGGGCTGAGTCCAGAGTGAGCAGCGTCTCGTCCCAGTTCAGTGAAGGAGCTCAGCCCAGTCCCAGCTCGCACAGCAGCACCCCCTCCTGGTGCGAGGAGCCGGCACAGGCGAACATGGACATCAGCACGGGTCACATGATTCTGGTGAGGACTCCATTACTTTTATTTGTCTATAGACCCAAAGTTATCTTTACCTAGTTTTTGTTTCGCCAACAACAGATAAGAAAATCACACATTTCAAACGCAGGAAGTGCAATGATAAAAAACACAGAGAAGCCCCTAACTATTGTGTGTGTGTGTGTGTCTCTTTCTGTGTGTATGTAGGCCTACATGGAAGACCACCTGAGGAATAAGGATCGTCTGCTGCAGGAGTGGGAGGCTCTGTGTACGTACACAGCTGAACCTGCGACGATGACCTCAGCTCAGAGCAACAGCAAGAAGAATCGTTGTGCAGACGCACTGCCCTGTGAGACATACACTCACACATATACACTCACATGCACACTCTCACACACCGACACACACACACACATTGTGTGTGTCTGTCAGATAGACAGACAAACACAGACAAAGCAAGAAGAACCACTGTGCAGACGCACTTTCGTGTGAGACACACACAGAGAGACTCACTCGCTTAGCATCAATTTGTTTACTGTTCCGTGCTAACACTTACATGGACTAAACTTAATAATAGTAATAGTATATTAACTCATGTTACTATTAACACACACTATTATAACAATGTAATAAATATATATATTATAAAAATATAAATTGTATACAATCTACGTTTTATATATTGTAATTCCCTCTGTGCAGATGACCACGCCAGAGTGAAGCTCAAAGCTGAGGTGAACCCGTCACGCTCAGACTACATCAATGCCAGCCCCATCGTAAGAACCTGTCTATTTATATAGTTATAACATATTTAAACGACAACATCCTCTGTCCTCCACTCATTACCTGTATTAATGGTACTTGTTTGAACTGATTATCAGTGTGAAAGACACCTGTCCACAACCTCAAACAGTCACACTCCAAACTCTATTATGGCCAAGACCAAAGCTGTCAAAGGACACCTGAAATAAAATTGTAGACCTGCACCAGGCTGGGAAGACTGATTCTGAATCTGAAGGTATGAAAAAATCAACTGTGGGGGCAATTATTAGAAAATTGAGAACATACAAGACCACTGATAATCTCCCTCAATCTGGGGCTCCACGCAAGATCTCACCCAGTGGGGTCAAAATGATCACAAGAACTGTGAGCACAATCCCAGAAACACACAGGGAACTTAGTGAATGACATGCAGAGATCTGGGACCGAAGTAACAAAGGCCACCATCAGTAACACACTACGCCGACAGGGACTCAAATCCTGCAGTGCCAGACGTGTCTCCTGCTTGATCCAGTACATGCCTAAGTCCGTCTGAAGTTTGCTAAAGAGCATTTGGATGATCTGAAGAGGTTTGGGAGAATGCTATATGGTCTGATGAAACCAAAATAGAACTTTTTGGTAAAAACTCAACCTGTAATGTTTAGAGGAGAGTTGCATCCAAAGAACACCATACCTACTGTGAAGCATGGGGGTGGAAACATCACTGCCCTAGAGGAGATCTGCATGGAGGAATGGGCCAAAACACCAGCAACAGTGTGTAAAAACTTTTGAGCTCTGTTATCTCCAACAAAGGGTATATAAAACTTTTGTATTGACCAAATATTTATTTTTCATGTGATTTTCTGTATTTGTTTTCCTCATTCTGTCTCTCATAGTTGGGGTTTACCTATGATGAAAATTACAGGCCTCCCTCATCTTTTTAAGTGGGAGATCTTACACAATTGGTGGCTGACTAAATAATTTTTTGCCCCACTGTATATATATCATATATCCTAGTGCTGGCCCATTATTTTGATTATTTTTTCAAATCACAATTGCTTTTTTTATACTTTAGAAATATATAAGCCCCTTCAACTTCCCTTCCAAAGGGATCAAAATATGGTGATACTAAATAAATTAGCAGAATGCCCAAGTTTTGTCTTAGTTGCGCATGAGTCCATATGTCTTGACAAGAAGCGCAGCACATCTAAGTGGACGTGCTGCAGTAATCACTAGTTCATTGTGACAATACACAGAGAAAACTTTCAGTCGACAACTCTTTGAAAATAAACTTTTCATTCAGAAGCATAAACACACCTCAGATTTCTCTCTGTTTGTTGCAGATTGAACACGACCCCCGGATGCCCGCCTACATCTCCACTCAGGGGCCACTGTCCCACACCATCGCAGACTTCTGGCAGGTGAGAAACACTACTGTTCTACTGAGAGGAGACCAGGGATGTGTGGTCTCCTCCTCCTCTCCTCTCTCCTCTCTCCTCTCTCCTCTCTCCTCTCCTCCTCTCCCCTCTCCCCTCTCCTCTCCTCTCTCCTTTCCCCCTCTGTGACCTGTTGTGTGTTTGTGCAGATGGTTTGGGAGAACGGTTGCACTGTGATCGTGATGCTGAGTGCTCTGGTGGAGGACGGAGAGAAACAGTGTGACAGATACTGGCCCGATGAAGGCTCCTCCCTCTACCACATCTATGAGGTACAAGACACAGGGGGAGATGGGGGGAGTCCAGGGGAGCAGGGGCTACACAACCACTACATATTTATGGTTGTGTTTCCATATCACCGCAGAACATGGAGTATCACCTCAGTGCTAAACATAGAGCATAGCATTGACATTAACCCCAGTACAATGACCCACACCCAAGTCACACTCCACCTGGTGACTGCTCTGTCCTTACTCCTCTCTCCCCTCCTCTGTCCTCCTCCTCCCCTCTCTCTCATCGTCCTCTCCCTCCCCTCTCATCCCCCCTCAGGTGAACCTGGTGTCAGAGCACATATGGTGTAATGACTTCCTGGTGCGGAGCTTTTACCTCAAGAACGTTCAGACGCAGGAGACTCGCACGCTCACTCAGTTCCACTTCCTCAGCTGGCCGGCTCAGGGCATCCCCACCTCCACTCGCCCCCTGTTGGACTTCCGCCGGTACTGCAACCACACACACCTCACCCACCCACATGTCCATCACTACCTTTAACTACAGTATTTACTAGGAGCCTGCAGTATCTTTAACTCTGTTCTCCTCGGCTTTTATGTTTCAGAAAAGTGAATAAGTGCTACAGAGGCCGTTCCTGCCCCATCACCGTGCACTGCAGGTGAGGAGTGTGCACGTGACACTGTTGTGAAGGGGACGAGGGACATTAGACTGAATTATGTTTGATCCTTTTACAGCGACGGCACCGGACGCACCGGCACCTACATCCTCATCGACATGGTTCTCAACCGCATGGCCAAAGGTTAGACCTGATCTTAGACCTGCTTTAGTCCTGCTTTAGAACTGCTTTAGACCTGCTTTAGACCTGATTTAGTCCTGCTTTAGTCCTGATTTAGTCCTGCTTTAGCTTTAGTCCTGCTTTAGTCCTGCTTTAGTCCTGCTTTAGTCCTGCTTTAGACCTGCTTTTGTTCTGCTTTAGACCTGCTTTAGTCCTGGTTTAGTCCTGCTTTAGTCCTGCTTTAGACCTGCTTTAGACCATTTCTCAAATAGTTCAGTCCCTCATTTGAATGTTCTTTTCTTGTTTTTTCTTCTGTGACTTTTGTTTGAACAGCAGAATAAATTAATGAATGTTGTGTTTTGTTTCAGGAGTGAAGGAGATCGACATCGCTGCGACGCTGGAGCACATCAGAGACCAGAGACCAGGGATGGTCCGCACCAAGGTCCTCAGGAACTCACTTTATATTTATACTGTCGTCCCAAAGGAGAATGAGGACAGCAGCTGTCTTCAGAGCTCTCTGAGTCACTGTTTAACTCTTTAGGCTGAGAGATGATTAATATCCTCTGTCTAAGTCAGGTCTCATCTTGGTTTCAGTCTGGTTTCAAACACTGATGTGACCAAAAATTTATGAAAACAAGGATTTTAATACAGAGTTCTGTTGTTGTGATTTGAAAGTAATTATTTTCATTTCACAAACTCAAGGGTGATTTGCAGAAGTAGTCTGTAGTCTCTTTGATGACTTCCACTGCTCCCCTCAGGCCCTGATGGTCTGTGTGAGGACAGTGCCATTTACTGGACAAATGCAGCATGACCATACTTGTTTTTCATTGCCAGCTGTTTCTATGTAGGGAAAGTCAAATAAAATTGACTCACATTTTTTCATGTTTGAGGGGACGATAGTAGCAGCAGTAGCAGCAGCAGCAGTATAATGCACATATATGAGCTGATTTGTCTTGTATTTCAGGACCAGTTTGAGTTTGCGCTGACAGCGGTGGCGGAGGAGGTTAATGCCATCCTGAAAGCACTTCCTCAGTGACGTCCTGCGAGAATCAAGATGGACGACAGCAATCGCCGTGGAGACTAACGAAAAAAACAAGAGAGAATGATGCCTTCTACTAACGAGTCCATCAACAACATCGATCACTAACATCATGGACCAAGGCTTTAATCAGCTCCAGGAGAGCCCTGAAGAGTATTCACTGATGCTGCTGCTACTACTACTACTACTACTACTTCTAGTGCTAATACTGCTACTACTACTCCTGCTGCTTATACTACTACTGCTACTGACTGGGCTTTTATGACCAGTTCTAAACCAGGACTAGACTTTGATCTATCCTCCTCAGCGCTCTCATGGTCTCTTGGGCTTAGTCCGGTCTCATCTTGGTCCTGTTTACAGCTTGGTCTTAGTCCGGTCTAAACCTGGTCTGGGTCCAGTTTCGCCTTGGTCCCTTTAACCCTCACAAACGCATGGCTCTGCACACTGACCGCTCACCTCTCACCTCTGACCTCTGACCCCTCACTCTCTGTCTCTGTGTCCGTGTTGAATGTTTCTGCAAATGAAAATAAGCTAAAAACAAGTTTAAATCTTCTATTCTGTAAAAATGAGTCTATTTTGTAACTTGTGAAACTTCAAGGTAATAAACTGTTGTGAGTGCTGCAGTCCGGCTTTGTCGTCTGTTGGTTCTGTTCCAGACTTGTCACAAATCCTTCACGTCTCACGAGTTTCAGCAGAATTTGAGATTTTATTTTGGTTTTACACAAACACATAAATTACTTAAGTTTTCAAGTAAATTGTCCATAGAATAATTTGGGACGCAGCTTTAGACTTAAGAATTTTAGTCACAATCGAGAAATCCTTATGAGTACACACACACACACACACACAGACACAGATATGTGCATACACAATTACCCACATATATAAATATGAAATATATATGTGGTCATTATAATGTTTGTATCAACCCAAATTTGGCATATGCTCTTAGTCTGACCCCGAGAGACAGTAACCGGCTCGACAGGCTGATCAGGAAATGTGTCTCTGATGGGGAGAAGTGTGGACTCTGTGGGAGCTGTGCTGGAGAGAAGAATGAGGGCTCTAATGCAGAGAATTCTGGGTAACTCCAGACACCCTCTGCATGACACCATGGCCGCACAGAAGAGTAACCGAAGGAACAACAAAACGTTTCAAGAGATTCTTTGTTCCTTCGGCTGTCAGACTGTACAACAAACCTAGATGAGTCTTCTGCTGCTGGACACCTGAATTTATCCAACAGGGGATCTAGTATCTATCTATTCATCGGCCCTAGTGACATTAAATCATTCCTAAACCATCTCAAAAACATTTATCAATCTTTTGAATATAAAATGGAAGGAAAATAAAACTCAGGAAGTGTGTTGAATTCTGCCCGTCTTTATTCATATTTACAGTCTACGGTTTATATTGTAGCAGAACTTTCGTGGTGGTGCTTGTTTCCGGTCGGTCCGTGTTGTGAGCTGCACAAAAAGCGCCCGACAAGCCCCGTATGTAAACAAACGTTTATATTTAAAAATAGTCTTTATATTAAGCACAAATCACGTGTTTAATGTTTATAATGATGCTGCAGTTGAGGCTCTTGTGCTTCATTTGATTCGGTTCATTTCATTTTTGTTTGATAAAAATTGAAGTAGTTTTCCTCAGTGACAGATATCATCAGGCCAGCCATATACAGCACATGTTTAACTCTAACTAAAAATATATAGAGATCTTCTATTCGTCCCACTATGGGGACTTTCCTTCCTGCTGCTGTCAGACTGTACAACAAACAATGAGATAGAGATGTTATACTTGTTATTTGATGCTAGAGTTAGAGATTTTGTTTTATTCTAATTAGTATAGCTACTGTTCACTTATCTTGGGCTGTGTGCTCCTTATTCCTACTGTTCTATAACTTATCACTATTCTATATTAAATGCATCAATGATCTGTCCGGGTTCTCCTCTTCATCCATGACCTGGTTCCGGAGGCAGCAGTCTGGATGAGCCAGACCCAGACCAGGCTCACCAGACCAGGCTCAGACCCAAACCTAGACCAGACTCAGACCAGACTGATCAATGTTTGTTCTTTAGACCCTGCATGATGTGGCTCTGACTCCAAACCAACAGCTCATTCCTCAGAAGGTCAGAATGTGTGTTTTTTAATTTAAAATACAATAATAATGATAATAACTAGAACTGCAATCATAGAGCGTAGGCCTCCTCTCTCTGTCTCTCACCTCTCGTTCCTCTCTCCTTACCTCTCTTGTTTGATCTCTGTCTATTGTCCTCCACAGACTCCTCTCTCCTCCTCAGACTCCTTTCTCCTCCTCACCATGGCCTCCTCCTCCTCACTCCTCTCTCGGCCTTGGGTCCCCGTATCAGTCGAAGACTCTCGGTTCCTGTGCCAGTCCTGGTTCGGGTCCACTCAGTACCAGCTCCTCCTGATGGACTCTGAGTGTCTGTGGGAGGAGAGCGTGGAGGAGCAGCAGGTCCAGGCCAGAGCACAGGTCTCACACTATAATACTGTTATAACACACTGTAATACTGTGGAAACCAGATCCCACCGAGACAAGGCCAGCAGAAACATTTAAGAGCACAGGGGAAAGCCACTCTGATATTAGAGATGCATGTATTGAAGTATATTGACCACGCCCTCCTGTTGATCATGTGATCAAGTTCACAGTCCTTCTGCTTGAGTTTCATTGTTTCAGAGTCCGGTTTTAAACGTTTTTAGCTCCATGATAACATCAAGAAGCCTGGCTCTCGCCAGATTCTTGTAGTTCCGCCATGCTCCACCGGAGGCGTTTTGCTGAACAAAAGGTCTGGGACTGAGCGCAATATAAACTCCTTCAAAGATAGCAAAAAATAATCAACCAATCAGGATCGCCGGTGTTACGTCAGTTTGCACCGCCTTCTCGTGTGTGTTTCACGGCAGCCGAAACAAACAAAAATGGCGGACATAATGTTTGTGAAATAAATTTTAAAAAGTAAATACAAACAAATTAAGACACAAATGTCACTTTTAATGTAAGATCAAGCGAGATGTTGATGGTTCCATGTTGTTATATGCGTTATATGTGTAAAAATAAAATTGATCTTTGTAAAAAGCTAACAATAGTGATAATCAGCAACAGCCCTTTAGGTAACAGTAGCAGAGGTGGAGTAGCCGCTTGGTTCGGACCATTTTTTTCTGCTCTAGTCCAAAGTAAAATGCTAAATGTTTCATTAGTTAGCATTCCTCTAGAATGAAAATATATTCTTTACAATTGCATGTTTGTGTTTGCAGCTCTCTCTGATGGCAATAAAGGGAATTACAGTGGAATGCTTGATTTCCTCTGCTCCTCAGCTTTATAGATATTATGTCACACAATGACAAAGTAAACAGTCTTGTTATCATTTTGAAGGGACATGGGAATGGTAATAAATCTTTGCTGCCGCAGGAGCTGAACCGCCGTCTGCGCGCCTCCACACACTCGTTCTTTTCGCGCCTGGTCACCGTGGTGACGCCGTGGCTGACAGGAAGCAGGTGCGATCACATGACCATGCGGCGGGAAGACGGTCACATGGCTCTTAGGCTCAGGACCGAAGTGGGCGGAGTCCCGTTCACCTGGGAGTTTTACCTGCGGCCGGCGAGCGTGTCCGTGGTGAGCATAAGCCTTGATCCTGGCTCTTCAATTGCTATGTGGTTGCTATGAGAGAAGTTGGCTGTGCTCTTGTCTCTCTCTCCGGTCTCTCTCTGGTGTCTCTCTGTTCTCTCTCTCTCTGGTCTTTCTCTGTTCTCGTTCTCTCTGGTCTCTCTAGTCTCTCTCTGGTCTCTCTCTCTCTCTGATCTCTCTGGTAGATGTATAATCCCTCAAAACAATCCAGAGAATGGCACACACTGAGCCGCGCATTCTCCACCAAATCTGTCAGGATTTAAGCAGACAGAGACGGATCGTGGTGTGCCAAACTCTGGAAGTTTATTTAAGTTTCTCTCAAGTTCCACTGGTTTACTCTGTTTCTTTCTCTCAGACAGAATAAAGGCAGTACACAGTTTATATAGTCATTGTCACGTCACACATCGAAAGACATACGTGTCACAAAGAGACAGTCACATCATAGTCATAACATGGAGTCCTTGTAGAGTCCTTGTACAGTCCTGCACGTAGGCCATATTGCTATCTAATACTAATAAAATCTTTAGATCAGCTTTTTCAGACAGAACAGAGAGGACCACCCTCACTCAGCCAATCAGCTCTCAGCCCAAAGAATCATATAGTGTTGTACTACTACTCTCTGGTCTCTCTCTCTGGTCTCTCTCTCTGGTCTGGTCTGTTATGGTCATGGATCTATGATATCGATTATGGTCTGGTATGTTTACAACTACTACAACTGCTACTACTACTAATGTGCCTAATCAGCTCAAAGAGTCAAATTGTGACTGTTGTGACTAAAAACATTTTATTTTGCAAGACTGTTTCTACATTTTAAATACAGAATAAAAGAACATAAATGTGTGTGTAATTATGTAATTAGTTAGAGATGTTATACTTTCTTCTTTACTTTGCTAAAGTTAGAGATTTTATGTGACTTAAGTATAGAGGTATTGTATGTTCTTTTGTCCTACTGTTCTGTAACTGGTGATGCAACACTGACATTTCCCCACTGTAGGATTAATCTCTTAATCTTAATCTCTATTTTATTTCTAACCTCCACAGAGCGACTACAGACCGAGGCTTTTGAGGAAGACTCCTTCAGACACAACTTCATCACAAAGGTCGAGAAAACTCACCACACACTATGTCACAACATAGCGCCGACATAGCAGCAGGTCACAGGAGACAGGCTTTCTCCACTCAGAGACATTCCTCACAGAATGATGATGATGATGATGGGAACAGCCTTGACAAGATTTAGTCCAGTTTTATCAGGAGGAATGGGCTAGAATTCCAGCCAAGTACTGTTAGAAGCTTGTGGAGGATCCCATAGCACTTACTAGTCTTAGTTTAGAGCTGATTTCTTTGTCATTCAAGCTGCTCCTGAAACACAAGACTCATATGTGCATATTAGACAACTGCTTCTCTCTCTGGTTTCTCTCCCTCTTTTTCATCCCTCTGGTCTCTCTCTAGCCTATCATCTGTCTAGGCCCCTCTGGTTTCTCTGCTGCCTCTCTCTGGTCTCTCTGTTGGGTCCCTCTCTTGTCTCTGTTCTATAGGCCCCTCGGATTTCTCTTTCTCTCTGGCCCCTCTCTGCTCTCTCTAAGCTTTCTCTCTCTGCTCTCTCTCTGCTCTCTCTTTGGTGTCTCTCAGCTCTCTCTGGTCCCTCTCTGGTTTCTCTCTCTCTCTGGTCTCTCTCTGGTCTCACTCAGCTCTCTCTGGTCCCTCTCTGGTTTCTCTCTCTCTCTGGTCTCTCTCTCTGGTCTCTCTCTGGTCTCACTCAGCTCTCTCTGGTCCCTCTCTGGTTTCTCTCTCTCTCTGGTCTCTTGTCTCAACATGATGCTGAGTTTGAATCACAAGTTTGATTTATAAAGAGATTATTCCTTTGGGGAAATTGTGTGTTTACTTACTTCACTTTTGAATTTGTTAATGAGATCAAAAAATGTGTGCTGTGTGTGCTCTATTTGTGTCTTGTGGATAATTGTGTTTGTCCTCGTGAGCGGCAGACGCTTCTCTCTCACTCCGCGCTCACATTCCACAGAGGAGTGACAAAACTGAGCATTCACCAAAACATCAAACATTTACTCACAGTCTCACTGTGAGGAACAAAGCAATTATACTCTTGTTCTGGTCCTGCTTTAGTCCTGCTTTAGTCCTGCTTTAGTCCTGGTTTAGTCCTGCTTTAGTCCTGCTTTCATCCTGGTTTAGTCCTGCTTTAGACCTGCTTTAGACCTGCTTTAGACCTGCTTTAGTCCTGAGTTAGTCCTGCTGTAGACCTGGTTTAGTCCTGCTTCAGTCCTGCTTTAGACCTGCTTTAGTCCTGCTTTAGTCCTGCTTTAGACCTGCTTTAGTCCTGCTTTAGACCTGCTTCAGTCCTGGTTTAGTCCTGCTTTAGTCCTGCTTTAGTCCTGCTTTAGTCCTGGTTTAGTCCTGCTGAAGACCTGCCTTAGTCCTGCTTTAGACCTGCTTTAGACCTGCTTTAGACCTGCTTTAGACCTGCTTTAAACCCACTTTAGTCCTGGTTTAGTCCTGCTGTAGACCTGCTTTAGTCCTGCTGTAGACCTGCTTTAGACCTGCTTTAGACCTACTTTAGTCCTGCTTTAGTCCTGCTTTAGATTTGCTTTAGACCCGCTTTAGTCCTGGTTTAGTCCTGCTTTCGACCTGGTTTAGACCTGCTTTAGTCCTGCTTTAGTCCTGCTATAAACCTGCTTTAGACCTGCTTTAGTCCTGCTTTAGTCCTGCTTTAGTCCTGGTTTAGACCTGCTTTAGACCTGTTTTAGTCCTGCTTTAGTCCTGCTTTAGACCTGCTTTAGTCCTGCTTTAGTCCTGGTTTAGTCCTGCTTTAGACCTGCTTTAGTCCTGCTTTTGTCCTGCTTTAGACCTGCTTTAATCCTGCTTTAGTCCTGCTGTAGTCCTGCTTTAATGCTGCTTTAGTCCTGCTTTAGACCTGCTTTTGTCCTGCTTTAGACCTGCTTTAATCCTGCTTTATTCCTGCTGTAGTCCTGCTGTAGTCCTGCTTTAGACCTGCTTTAATCCCACTTTAGTCCTGGTTTAGTCCTGCTGTAGACCTGCTTTAGTCCTGCTGTAGACCTGCTTTAGACCTGCTTTAGACCTGCTTTAGTCCTGCTTTAGTCCTGCTTTAGATTTGCTTTAGACCCGCTTTAGTCCTGCTTTAGTCCTGCTTTAGATTTGCTTTAGACCCGCTGTAAATAACATAATAATAACTGTTTTTGAAAATGTTTTATCTTAGCTATAGTTAAAATACGGTTTTAGTTTTAGGGATGTTATTTTTTGAAGATAGTTTCCTTTTTTGCAACATGTTAGCGCGAGGCGCAAGCCATCAACGGCAATGCATGGTTACCACGGCAACAGAAAGGCGCTCCGACAAAGTCCTACGGAGCGCAAATGAAAACGTTATTTTTAGCTACCCCCTTTTTTTTTTTGAGGAACAAGGTACGTTTACTACGAATGTATTTTTGTTAAATGTACGTTGTATTATTATTGTAAGGATGTAAGAGTTAATTATCTTATTGTTGTGTTCTCAGCTCTTACGGTGAATTTGAGAGTTTACAGCTATTAAACTCGATAATCATCAGTGAAGTGTCTTCCTACATGCGGGGGGGGGTTTGCTACAGTAAGAGCTTGCCTCCAAGAAGAGCAAAAGTTTGTCGTCACTCTGAATGAAGAACCTGCTCCAAGCCGAGTGAACAGCGCAGTTCATCATACACGCCCCGTGAGAAGGCAACAGCGCGGAGCAGCTACAGTAACGGTCGTAAGGATACGTGACAAACGGTTGCTCTCAAAATGGCAAATATACAAGAACAGATAAAAGAAACGGACCAACTCAAAAAATTGCAATGTGAAATGTATGAAACGGATATTGAAACATTACCAAGGCGATCAGAACGGCATAGTGTGCCTACAGAGAAAATGCTTCAATATAAAAATGATGAACAGATGAAAACAGAGAAAAAAACTATTAACCATTTATGAACGTTGGAAGGACCAAGTCAGAATTTACAGAAACGATTTGAAGAGTGATATATCAGATTCAAAGTTGGCAGAAATGGCTGATAATATTGAAAATACAATAAATGCTATGACAAAGGCATACAGTGAACTAAGAGAGCAAATTGTACCGTCCCATGTCATAAGACGAAAAATGGACTCTTGTGAGTCAGTAACAAAGGACATTATGAAAATCATTTCAGAACGCTTAGCAGCCATAGATGAGTATGATGAAGATAGAGAAAGGAAGCGCCTCCATCAGCTCTTAACCTATGAACATGCAAAGTCCATATTTGGCACAGCATCACAGTCAAGTTATCACTCTGAAACAAGTATTTCTGCCAAAAGAATTGATGCAGCCGCTGAACTAGCTGCAAAGGAAGTGCAGTATGACATTATACAAGAGGAAATAAAACATAGGGAAAGAATAAGAGAAACTGAAGAGAAACACAGGAGGGAAATAGATGCACAAAGGTCTGAATTAGAGCGTTTACAAGCAGAAAAGGAAAGGCAAGCTGCACGCGCAAAGTTAGACATTTATGACAAGGAATTTAGAGTTGACATGGATGGTCGGTCAATAGTACATAACAATGGGACTCCTCCTGTCAACCAAAGCTTCGCACAACCAGCCCCAGTGCTCGCTACAGACTCGTATCACTCACTCATGCAACAGTATGCATCTATTCCTGTCAGCAATCCTGTACAACACTCTCATGTGTTCCCTCCATCTCCTCCTACAGACATTTCCCAACTGGCCAAAGCTATCCAGGACAGCATCGCAGTCAACAGAATTCCAGTGCCAGTGCCCAATGTGTTCAGTGGAGATCCCATCACATACATTGAATGGAAGGCTTCTTTCATCTCACTGGTGGACTGCAAAGGCATATGTACAGCTGATAAACTGCACTTGTTAAAAAGGTACATTACTGGTCCAGCACTTAAATGTCTTGAGGGCACATTTTATCGCAATGATGAAGAGGCATACAGAGATGCGTGGAACAAGCTTGACCAACGCTATGGTCAGCATTTTGTTGTTCAAAGGGCGTTCAGAG